ACTTTTAATTTCACCAAACTATAGGTACTTAGATCTCTATTTAAATAACAACGTTTTAAAATTATTCGCAATGTTAGGTAGTGGCTCGGTAGGTTAGGCCTTAGGAATCCCAATATTGAAGACCCGTATGCAGATCAAAACCGAAACCCACTGGAATAAATTTTGCATTTTTTGAAATATTTATAATGTGATACCAACAACAACTAGTGCCAAGCCAACTTCAAATAAGTGTTGGGTATACTAAATTATGTTTAAATGTTATCTAGTAGTATTTCAACACCAAGCTTACTCCAGCTGGAAATCTATACTCAAATATGTTTAATAATGACACTTTTTATTGTTAATTATGCAACACCAGATTTCTATGTGTGTTTTTAATACCTTTTAATAACAAAAATAACTTAGTATAATTTATAAAAACCAATATTCGGGTAAGTTGATGTATATACATTTGTGCAACTTACCCTTACTATTATAATACGTGTCTTAAATTTTAATTAATAACTTATAAAAAAAAACAAATGCAAATCAAATAAAAAACATATTAGATGGAAACTAAGAATACATGTCATTCAACGCATTTGTTAAAATATTTGACTTTGCTTACTGATTTCTGATCATTGTTATCCGGTTCTGAAAATAGTTTGTAATATTATATTGGTTGACATTAATTACGTTTTTTGTAAATAAATTTGTTATTACTGATAAAAATAATTTGAAACTATTTTGATATCATCAATTAGTCATCTTACCTAACACGTCAACTTACCTGACTTCCTATAATGTACTTTTAGATCAGTCCCTAAAATATCCAAATTTTCGTACTATACACATACTTAGTCCCAAATCGGTAAAATCTAAATTATTCAGTAAAGCACGATTGAGCATATACCGTTTTAGCAACACGATTGAGCATAGAATATTTTATGCAATGTGCTACATTTACCCGGCGGGTTACCAGGGATAGTAGGATAGGCAAGATTTCTGACAAGAGGATTGGTATGGGCCAAAGTGCGGAAATGGAAACGTTTATAATATGCTTTAGCTTCTTCAGAGACTGACGGCATTTTAAGGTCTTTATGTATAGTGTGGTTAGAGACATAGGGAGGGGCATTAACTAATTTGTGATGTTTTGAAATGTTTGGATTTTGTTTATGTTAGTTTTTTTTTGCGTTTCCTCAAAGCTGTAGGCCATATGTCCAAACAGACTTTAGTAGTGATTTATAGATTAGTAATTTGGTATTGATGTGAGTATATTTATTATTGTGGATGAGGTTTTTTAGTAGTCGTAGGCGTAAGTTTAGATTAATTTTTTTGGACTTAATATGCTGGGCCCAGGTCAGTCTTTTATCAATGGTCAAGCCAAGATATTTAACATTCGAAGCACTGGGAATCAGAGTATTATAAATAAAGACATCAGGGCAAGGGGTGAGTTTAAGGGTGAACGTCGCATGAACCGATTTGGTTTGACTTATTTTAAATCTCCAGTCGGTGTACCACTTCTCCATGAGATTGAGGTGAGATTGGAGATTTTGAGAAGCTATGACGGGATCAGAGTGTATCGATAAGATTGCCTTATCGTCTGCATAATCGGCAGTTAGTGTATTAGGTGTCGTTGGTTGGTCTGAGGCAAATATATTGTAGAGAGTAGGGGAGAGGATATCACCTTGCGGGACACCAGCTGATATATTTCCTATGGTAGAAAATTTATCACTGACACGAACTTGAAAGTGGCGATCGGAGAGATACGACTTAATAATAGCAAAGTATGTAGGATGAAGAAACTTTTTTAATTTATACAGGAGGCCATCATGCCATACCCTATCAAAGGCCTGAGCGATATCCAGAAATGCGCTTGTACAGTATAATTTTTTCTCTAGTGAATAAGAAATGGCGTCCACAACTCTGTGAACCTGTTGGACAGTAGAGTGAGAAGAGCGAAAACCGAATTGTGTATCAGGAAGGATGGATTTTTCAGTAATAGATGGTAGGATACGTTTTAATATAAGTTTCTCTAGAATTTTAGCGAAAAAAGGGAGTAGACTTATAGGTCGAAAAGAGGTTATTGAGTCAGGTGGCTTATTAGGCTTGGGCACTAGGATGATGATAGAAAATTTCCACAGCATGGGAAAGTATGATAGTCTAATAATGGAATTAAAAATAAGTGAAAGATGGATAAAGGCTTTATTAGGTAGACACCTACTACTTCAGCAGTAATCAGGTCAAAACCTGAAGATTTCTTAAGTGAATATTTATTTATGGCAAATTTTATATCGTTAGGTGTGAAATGTTTAATAGGATTAGATGGCAAGAACGGTGGGGAGTTAAGAAAATCTTCCACAACACTAGTATTGGTTTGAGAGTAAATATCAGGGTGAGGTTGAAAAATATCAGATAGACTTTTTAAAAAGTTCAGCTTTATCAGTGTCTGCAGAGGTGACATAACTTCCGTCAGGATTTTTAATTGGCAAGTTAGAGGTTTTGAATTTACAAATATTTTTAGTCGCTCTCCAAAGACTGCCATCTTTTGGTGAGAGTTTGGAAAGAAAATTAGTGAAGGTCTCAGATTTATGTTTTGCCAGAATTTTTTTAAGATGATTTGTTAATTTATTGTATTTGTGCTTATGAGAAGGAAGACGAGTACGTTGAAAAATAGCTCTAGCTCTGCATTTTTCTACTATTATATGGCGAATATATTCTGGAAGAAGAGGGTTATGAAATGAAGTTTGAGCTTCTGAGGTAGAAGACCATGCCGCAGATTGAATAAGTTTTGTAAAATTATTTACAGCAAGATCATTGTCATTAGTTGATTTTAGTTTTACATTTAATTTTATTTGTTGGTTAACAAGATCATGAAATTTGTTTTTATCGGTAGAGGGCTTAAATAATTTAGGAGATTCAAGACGTGTTAGAGGAGAAGCACGTCTTATAGTTAACAAGATAGAGGAGTGTTCAGAATTTAATTCAAGGAGATTTTCGGTGTAACAGTTTAAGTTACTAGGTATCTTGGTCACAAAGATATCTAAGATATCGGGGTTTTTGCGTGCTGAAGTCGGCCAGTAGGTGGGGCCAGGAGGAGCAAGAATTTTGTAATTTTTAGTTGATATGAAATTTTTAAGGACTATTCCACGTAGATTATTAACACGACATCCCCAGGCCAAATGTTTTGCGTTATAGTCACCTCCAGCTATAAAATTGTTGTTAATTGAGTTAAAGTAGTCTGTAAAAATTTGATTAGTAATTTTGTGTTTAGGGGGAGAGTAGACAGCTGCTATGGTGACGGGATTTTGAATTATAAAAGTTATTTAAATAAATCTTTTTGTATAATATAGTTTAAAATACCAAATTATTTCTAGTTAAACACTACTACACTAGTATACTATGTACCACCGTTCACTACTAAACTGATAATAATAAAAATAGCTACTCTTAATAACAATGAACAATAATAATAACTATATAATAAGAGTATAAGACGTAACAACACAAAATATTGTTTACTGCGTGTCTGTGTATTATATAATAATTAAAATATGGTTTGTCAAAAAACCATTAAAATATAAAAAAAAATGTGAAGATATAAAATTATACATAATATTATTACAAAGGTTTAATTAGAAGAACACACTTTTAAATTTTGTACCACACACTGCACTTTTTGTACTACACAAAGTGTGTCATACTATACACACAATTTTAGGGACTGTTTAAATTTAAACTAAAATTTATTTTTTCAGGAAACAAATAAATGTATCAGACAGTTTTGAAATTATTAATTATTCAATTTCGTTGTATTCGGAATACCGAAAGTTAATTATAGAGGACCTATAGATCCACCAGAAATAATATTTATTTAGGTGTGCATGTTTTAAAAAGAATATGCTATGCAACATTTGATGTCATAATAAATCGTCGTGCAAAAATAAATAGTAAGGTTGAACAATACAAAAAAAACGTATTGTTAATTTATAAAAAATATACGTTAAACGTACGGTTTAGAACAAGTCAATAAATTGTATAATATTTAAGCTTAAAAATAAATAAAAATATAATATAATTTATTGACTTGTTGTGTTGTTGTTCATAAAAGAATATAGAATAGTATAGTATATGGACGGTTTTTGTAAGAAGATTTATTATGATATAATATACTTTATTGCTAAATAACATAAACAAGTTGGTTTTATACTAATTATACAATGTATACAATATACGTATTGTCCATTTCATGTATTTTCTTCAAAGTTCACAATCTGTAAGAATTTCACTGTCCGGATTACAGTTCATGAAATTAGTGATTTCTCTATGTGGATGCGACATAGGTACTTATCAATTATTAGGATTGTAGGTTAGGCCTTTTTAACAATTTAAAAAATAATGTATGTGTTTGTGAGGATTGCACATAAATATATTTAGAGGGGGGGGGGGGGTTATCATCGGAAATCAGTAAGAAAATTGGAATTTTGTATTATTCATTTCAAATAAATCGCTGATGAAAAAATCATATCTGTAGGCTGGTTTTCAACTATCGGATTTAACATATTATACATGATATAAAAGAGATACGGGACTTTTGGCACACACTTTACTATTATAGCCCACCAACAGCACAAGTTAAATATTAAATCATGTTGTTGTGATCATTCGACAGTCCATTGCATAACTCTACCTAATTTAGACCCGGCCTATTACACGATTACACGATTGCGTAACCGGCAGACGTTTTTATATAAAAACGATATACACACCGATCGATATGTCAGTCAATCAGCCGTGTTCACTTCGTACCCATATAATAAACTATGATCGAGGAGGAAATATATTATATACACACACATATATATATATATACAAACCCATTCGACGAATCAATTTTGAGTCGCCACTGCCAGAGCGATCCACCGACAAGCAGATATTATCCGATATTATTCCGAAATAACAGATATCACACACCTCATACAGGCTCATAAAGGTTAAAATAATAAAACACCAACAACAATATGTTTCTGCAGTCGTACTCCGCCGTGGCCGTCTTTGCTTTCGCGATTCTGTTGAATATCTTCTACTTGTACTCACCCGCCGAATCATCCGAAGACGGCTGGTTGTTCCCGACGTGCGAGTTATGTCTTAAGTCGGATTGTCACGTCAAGAGGAAAAGGCCGTGCTTCACCACATTCGACGTTGATTTCAATTTCACATGTTTTACGTGTGACCCCGAAAATCTCAACCCACAGTTCTATTCCTACTTGGAATGCTTGCAAGGCTGCACGGACATGTTGAAGACCTGCGTTTGTTCCGGAGCGTGTTACATGTGTGTCATAAAGGAGGGTTCCGAATTGTTTGATTTCAAGGATTGCACCGTATCAGTCAAGGAGAAGAAACCAACGTGCGTGTAAGTTCCATAATACGGTACCGTCTGCAGCACGCCCGCAGCGAGATTATAGTTAAAATAATATTATGATAATATATTTACAATTATTACACAATAATATTATAAATTATATTATATAAGTACGATTTCGATCACCACCTTGATGTATACTGATCCAAATGTCAGTCAATCAGCTATTAACGCACCAACGAATTATATATAATATAATTATCATAATATCGTTTTTTTTACACTGCACCTATATTATACACTTATTGAGGCATTAATACACACACACACACACACACATATATACTCATTCCCTGAATCACCTCCGAGTAGCCAGCGCAAGTGATCCACTAAGGGAGCAGATTTCGAAATAACAGTTATTGTACAGCATATATACATTTCTATAACAACAATAATATTAATATCTTTCGTCATATGCCGCCGTGCCAGTCTTTGCTTTCGTGATAATGTGGAATTTATTCTACTTATACTGCCCTATCGAACGGGGGAAGTCGGCCATCTCTTTGAGGTGTGCCAGGAGTGTCTGGACTTTACTTTCCACACCGATAACAAAAAAGGCTATGCTACATAAAGATACAACGAACAGTTCATATATTTCCTGTGTGAACCCAAAAATGACAACCAACAGGTCTACTCCAAAAAGAAATGTAGGACTGGATGCATGGAAGAGACTAAGACGGGCGTAGTGACTACTCGTGTGAATTTTGCATCGCAGAAGAGGCACTTGAAATGAGCAATTATCAAGACATGTCTTATGCCAACCGATCATCAGAAGAACACAACGTGCGTGTGAGTTCCGTAAGGCACCACCAACATGCCCATCTTGAGATTATAATTAAAATAATATTATGATAGTATATTATCAGTTAAGATTTTTGCTTTTAAAATATGAATGATAACACAATACATATAATAATATTATATAGTTTATATAGTATTATAAATATACTCTTCCCATCATCACTGTAAAGTATTTAGTATTTTTTCACTGTTTGACTTCGCACAATATTCTCGCATAATAATTATTATGTATAGCATATTGTATAGCGCAGTGTGCCGTGGAATTATTATTATTATTATTATTATTCTGTGGCATTGCAGGAGCAGTCGCAGTGGCACGACTGGGTTCAAATCATGGGGGTGCTACCATAATGAATCGCTCACAAATCCGTTAGGAGCTCCACCCCCCACCCAAAACATTTAAATTGTTTAAATTATACTACTTTTCACAGTTATACCATTAATAGAAAATAAATTAAAAATTAAAAATTATTAAATGACAGCACCAATTATTGACAAAAAAATGTAGTGTTTATCATTATACAATGCCCATCATTTGTACTATACTTAGCATTACCTAATTTAAATATAATTATTAATAACATACCAATTTTTTTTTTAAATTCTTTATTTGATTTACACAATCTGCACATGTGTTTACCTACTAAACAAAACATACATTTATCGTTTAAATTGTAATGATTGATGTTGTCACCTCATATAAAGTAATTATAAAATATCTCTAATAGTCTTGAAATTTATATACTACCAAGGGTAAAAAAATTGGTTTTACAATGGTGTTTATTTATTTTTTTTTTTTTTTTATATCCTGTACACAAAATTTCTACCAGAAGGAGTGCTTTGATTTCAACATATTATAGTACCTTATCTTTTAGCAAATTGGACCAAGATGGTACTTTAGAGAGGTCATTTTTCGATTTTCTCAATAGTTATTTAATGCCACGGGAAAAAGTACTGAAAAGTTACGAAAAACCGCTTAAAATGGGATTTTAATTTCTAACAATTTGTTTATCACCGTAGCAACGAATAAAAAAAATAATAATTAAATAAATAAAATAATAAAAAAAAAATAATAAACACCATTGTAAAACCACTAGCTTCCTTGCTCCGCTCAGAATCTAAAATAATAATTAATTAAATAAAATAATTAATGACAATATAAAATATACAGACTGACAAACCGTCTCCGTTCAGAATCGTTTTTCTTATACAATGATATTATATCATTGAATTCAAGTTTAATACAATCCATTAAACAATGACCAACTTGTAACCTACTATACAGCTGAGTGACATCCACTTTTTTTAATTTAACTAGGCTCATTTTATTTATATTCGATTTTTTATTCAACTGATTTTTTATTATATTTAGAATTTAGTTTTTTTTCTTCTAGGATTTTTTAATTTAACTAACCTTTTTTTATTGAAAACTCGTTTTATTTAATATACTTATTTTATTTAGCTGTTTTTTTTATTATATAAAGATTTTTTTTTAGTTTAACTAAGCTTTTTTTATTAATTTACAACCAACTTCTTTTAGGGGAATAAATTAGGGAGTAATTACTTAAAAATTTTAAATTAATGCTTACAAATACTTATAAATGGTGCCCGACGTTTTGGAACAGTCAAAGTTAGGTCGAAGTTTCAAATTTCAAAATTGTAATAATGTAATGCTTATACATATGCCCATCGTATGTCCATCATTGGCGTGGTTACTTGGTGGGGGGGGGGGGGCTCAGGCTTTTTCTTTAATAAATACATAGATATCTATACTATGCTAGATATCGAAGATTTTACATAACAACATTATGTCATCAATAAATATTATTTTCTATGTAGGTTATAATATTTATTAACTTGGAGATTAGTCCAACTTTTATTAAACGTGTATTAGTATAGGATGACCGATCGTATTCTTTCGGAACCTTTGTTCGTGTGCAATCTATCATTTAATTTAACTCTTAGAGTTGGTACATTACAACGATTTACTCAATGGTGAGATACACTTGATGACTACAACTGTACAGCAGAGTGGTTACTAAATCAATACTTTCCATCTTTTTTCTGTTTAACTTGTAACTCTCTTAAGTTAACAATATAGAAAAGTTACTTTTTACTTAAACCTTAATTTTTGTTTTTCTACATCGACTTAACTAGTTAAACGCATTTGTGGTGCAGTTATAATATAATTTCATGTGAATGTTGCGTTAAACGTTCATTTTGAAAACTTCAAACTTGCCGAACACCACTGGCTTGTGTTGTAAATGGTAATTGGTCAAAAAGTCTAGAGACAAAAATCCCGGTATGAAAACAGTTGAACAAAAAGTCCGGATTCTATTTTTTTTCTATTTTGTAACCTAACCTAAACTAACCTACTCATATATTATGTAGGTACGTATTAATATACTAATTGCTTACTTACACCACATTCAATATGTACTTAAATTATTTAGCTACAATATTATTTATCATTATTATTCTGTTATACAAACCTCCAGGACACAATGCTTTCCAGTGGCATTATATACAAGCTTTACAATATTGAACTTACAGATGTATAACATCATGGTTCCAATATAATATGCCAGCACACGGTACGATAGATGTCATTTTAAAATCAATAGTTTATAATACATTGGTTTATATAATAAACATAAGGGTGAAACATATTAGACATTAATACAAATATAGAAATCATGAAACTAAAAAAATTAAAAATAAATATATTTGGAAAAAAGTGAATACTTTTCGTAATAATGATTATTCAACGATAAAAGAATCAACTTGTATAGGTACCACCAATCACTACGGATAGTAGTCTTGGAAACCTGATTGTTTGGAAACTAATAATTTGACGTTAAAAAAATTTTATAATTATTGTAAATGTTATGAAATTGTAATTGTTATGTAATAATTTCAGTATATTTATTATATTAATTGAAAAAAATTAATGAACGATGACAAACTTATGCATTGCATAAGCAGTTCCGGCAGCTAATGCCGCATAAAAAAAAGATGAAAAAGATTTAAATATTAACATTTAATAATTTTAATACATTTTAATAACAAAGTTTACTTAGTATAATTTATAAAAACTTATATTCGGGTAAGTTGATGTATATCAATTTGTGCAAATTAAGTTTTGATTAATAACTTATAAAAAAAAAAAACAAAAATGTAAATCAAATAAACAACATATTAGATGACAACTAAGAATACGTGTCATTCAACGTATTTGTTAAAATATTTGACTTTTCCTATTGATATCTGTTAATTGTTATCCGGTTCTGAAAATAGTTTATAATTTAATATATTAAATTGGTTGACATTAATTACGTTTTTTGTAAATAAATTTGTTATTACTGATAAAAATAATTGGAAACTATTTTGATATCATCAATTAGTCATCTTACCTAACACGTCCACTTACTTGACTTCCTGTAATGTACTTTGAGATCATAATTAAAATTTATTTTTTCAGGAAACAAAAAAATATATCAGATGATTATAATTATTCAATGCCTTGTATTCGGAATACCGAAAGTTAATTATAGGGGACCTACAGATCCACCAAACATAATATTTATTTAGGTGTGCATGTTTTAAAAAGAATATGCTAAGCAACGGTTGATGTCATAATAAATCGTCGTTCAAAAATAAATAGCAAAGTTAAACAATACATAAAAAAACGTATTGTTAATTTATAAAAAATATACGTTAAACGTACGGTTTAGAACTAGTCAATAAATTGTATAATATTTAAACTTAAAAATAAATAAAAATATAATATAATTTATTGACTTGTTGTGTTGTTCATAAAAGAATATAGAATAGTATAGTATATGGACGGTTTTTGTAAGAAGATTTATTATGATATAATATAGGTACTTTATTGCTAAATAACATAAAATAGTTGGTTTTATACTAATTATACAATGTATACAATATACGTATTATTGTCCATTTTATGTATTTTCTTCAAAGTTCACAATCTGTAAGAATTTCACTATCCGGATATACAGTACATGAAATTAGTGATTTCTCTATGTGTACTGATCAATTATTAGGATTGTAGGTTAAGCCTTTTTAACAATTTAAATAGGATTTTTAGTTCAATATTTTTTTTTTCAAAATGTTATTTTGTTTATTTTAAATAAACTAAAAATATTTGTATTTATTTTTTTTTAAATTTTTCAAAAATGAAGTAGGTAGTTATTGTTCAGCATAAGTATATTAATAAATTATAAATAAACCTCCTTTAATAAAAATTAATTTCATTAAACTAACTCATAATTATGATAATATAAATGGCGAAGATCTTATAGCATTATATGTTCAAAAATTATTAAATTAATAGTTATTTATTTACATATAATAAACCATAATTTATTGAACTATGAAAATGTAAGCAATTAAAAAGTGTAGACACTGCAGAAAATCTAAGATCTCGATTATCAAGATATTATAAGAGGTTCATCGAATTAAACGACTTTTTAATTTAATTAGTAACGTACCTAAAAAAACTACTAACGAAATAGAATTTGACGCAAATAAATTAATAACTCAGGCAGATAAAATTTTAAGCTCAGGTAATAATTTACAGGCTATATTGCACATTAAAAGTTTCCATTTATCTTAAAATTTTTGATTTATGTATAACTTTGATTGTAAAGTTTGAAATAGGTGTGGTATAAGAATGGTACACTTACATTACTAAGGGGTATCTGTTTGTATCAAAAAACCGACGTTATCACGATTATTCTGTGATTTTACATGTATACGTATATCGCATAGGTACCTATTTTCTATTATTGTACAAACAATTGTATATAAGTTTATAATTTATATACGAAAATATCAGTTTAATATTTATATGTATTCTGCAGTTGTTATAGGTACCTAGAGCATATATTATAGATTGCGACAGTTTTTTATTTCTTAAAAGTCTCGGTTACCACCTTATGTATTTGTCTGTGAGGTGGGCACATAGATATATTTAGAGTAGGGGGAGGGGGTTATCATCGAAAATCAATAAGAAAATTGCAATTTTTTTTCATACATTTCAAATAAATTGCTGTTGAAAAAATCATATTTGTAGGCTGGCTATCAACTATCGGATTTGACATTTAGATGATATAAGAGTGATACGGGACTTTTGGCACACACTTTACTATTATAGCCCACCTACGGCAGAAGTTAAATATTAAATCAGGTTGTGATCATTCGACATCCCATTGCGGTGACCATTGAATTGGCTCCCAATATTAGGTAAAGTACCTCATCGAACATTGAATTGGCTCCCCAGAAAAGGATTATTGAATTGGCTCCCAATATAATTTTAGTTTTTGTTCTTAATTTTATTCTTTAGCACAGAAGGAAATTTAAAATTTTTAAGTAAGTTGACTACAATATATGTTGATGGTACTTTCTCGTGTTGTACAAAATTTTTCTACCAGTTTTTCACAGTCCACGTAATAAAAAATAATCACTATATACCTTTGGTTTTTACTTTACTAAAAGATAATAATCAAGAATCGTACATAAACATTTTTAAAATTATCAATAATTATTGTTTAAATTATAATAATCAATTCGAAATAAAAAAAATGTATGTTGATTTTGAAGTTGCTATACATAACGCAATAAATGAAGTTAGGCCGTTGAGTGAAATTCGTGGTTGTCGGTTTCACCTAGGGCAATCATGGTACAGAACAATCCAAAAACTGGGCCTTTCTACAGAATATGAAAAAAAAAACAGAAATTGGTAAATATTTGACGTATATATTTGGTTTACCATTTTTAGATCCGAAATCAGTCGGTGATTGCTTTTCATTCAAATTAGCTGAGATACAACCAAATAATGAAAAAATTATAAAATTTATGGACTACTTAGTTGAAAATTATATTGAAAATAATTCTTTATTTCCACCTCACATTTGGGCAGAAAAAAGCAGTAGTGTCTGTCGTACAACTAATTCATGTGAATCTTTTCACTCTAAATTTAATTCCCAATTTAGTTCTCCGCACCCAAATATATACAGTTTCTTGGATGTATTGTATGGTATTCAAGCGGATACTGAAATTATAATAAGAAGCTCAACTGTACAAAGACCACACAAAAAAAAAAATCAAGAAAAAATACAGTTTATAGACAGTCAAATTCAGAAATATGACAATGGTATAGTATCAAGATTTGAATATATAAAAATTCTTGCAAACAAATTTAAGCCTACTAAATAATATTAAAACATTGCAGGTCAGTGAATATTTGTATATTAAATTATAGTACATAAATACCTATTGTATACCTAATATTGTATATTTTTATTGAATTATTTTTTATTATTATTTTAATTTATTTTCAAACAATTTTGATTGACTATTAAATGTAATATTTGTATTTTAAATTAGTTTTATGTATAGTTTAATTTATTTTCCAACAATTTTTATAACCAATGGATTTATAAAATATATGTCGAGGGAGCCAACTCAATGCATAACCCTTTATAGGTTAGTGGTTGTTCTAGAAGCCACTTATGTTTGTACGGTAGATGGGCAGCATAATATTAATGAATCACAAATGAATGCAACTGTGGCATTTATAGAAGCCACTTGTAAAATGACAGTGCATGGGCAGAACTATTTTTTTTTTGATAACATCAAATTAGCTAACTATTACCATTCTACTACTTGTTTGTAACATTTTTGTTTAAGGGAACATTGATGTATCATCAAAATCTTGCCCTGTGGGTGGTGGCTGAAATATGTGCCACCAAACTATAATGGAATATGAACTTTACTGGACTTAGAATTATTAGGATCTTTTAACATTTTTCATACCTATAGCATACATTTAGAAAAATTAAATTACTATAAAATATAATTCAATCACAGTTTTTGCATGAAAAATACTCAACTAATAAAAATAATAATAAAATAATTCCAAATTATATTTTTAAAAAAAAATCACTTGATTTTAAAACAACATTTTGAAAAATTCAAATAAAACAACAACCTAATATCAAATTTCTGTATTATGAAAAAATATAAAAAAAAAATACATCACTTCTTGAATAAAATAACATGATAACAATTTTTCAGACTTTTGAAAAAATATAAAATAAAAACATCACTTCTTAAATAAAATAACATTATAACAATTTTTCAGACTTTTGAAAAAAATATAAAATAAAAACATCACTTCTTGAATAAAATAACATTATAACAATTTTTCAGACTTATAAAAATTATATACTTTTTAGAATTACATTCTATAAACTTTTACAAAATAAATAATACTAAACAAATTCAAATAACATTATAACAATTTTTCAGACTTTTGAAAAAAATATAAAATAAAATCATCACTTCTTGAATAAAATAACATTATAACAATTTTTCAGACTTATAAAAATTATATACTTTTTAGAATTACATTCTATAAACTTTTACAAAATAAATAAAACTAAAAAAATTCAAATAACATTATAACAATTTTTCAGACTTATAAAAATTATATACTTTTTAGAATTACATTCTATAATCTTTTACAAAATAAATAATACTAAAAAAATTCAAATTTTTATTCATAATTGACTGGTGTAGAAACTAGATATTTTATTGTGAATGAAAAGGCAAAAAACAATCCAAGCAAAGAGCAACCTCACATTCCTGGCAGTGGATTTTTGATCTTTTGACATTTTTTTTAGTACTACAAAGCCTACAGCGATTATATTTTCCAGCAATAGGCATGTGATTACCCACATTTTGGAGTCTGCTATTATTTCCTGCTAATATAATACGGCCCCTTCCAACATCTGTGGGCTTTCTTTTAGTTGAAGGGATAACTTTTTTAGGTAAAAAAGCTTTTCTGTTACAAAATTGCCCAATTAACTCATCAGCTAATAAAGAACGATACATTAAATGAGTCAAAGGTTTCTCTCTGTTTGAGGTTAGTTTAACAGTTGTAGTATACATTATATATGAATTAACAATAGTGGCATCACAAAAATAATAAAAGAGCTTCATCCACCATCTTCGAGACTTCCAAGTTATATTGTAGCATTCTAGTAGTTGATCAAAATGATCAACTCCGCCCATATACTTATTATAGTCAGCAATACTTTTAGGACATTTAACATCTTCTCTAATACCAACATTATTTTTTCTCTTAACCACTGTAATATCTTCTCCCTTATGAATAGATGATACTACAACTACAGGTTTTTTCCCTCTGTCCATCCATTTATATACTGAAATTTCTCCTGATGAAGCAAAATCATAATCACCCATACTAAGAGATTTATCTGCTTTTAATAAAGTTTTAGGAAAATATTTTCTATTTTAAAACATAGTTCCACAAGCAAATATTTTTCTTTTTAGTAATTCTGAAACAAGATTTATGCTGGAAAAAAATCTGTCAAAAAATACACAATATCCTTTATCTTGATAGTTATTAGTCATTTCCAGTACCGTCTTTTCACCTAGAGATCCTTTTTCCTTAGAATCTTTTTTTCCTTCATATATAATAAATTTAAGTAAGTAACCAGTTATTGCACAACATATAGCCCATATCTTAAATCCTCTTTTTACTGGTTTCATTGGCATATATTGCTTAATTCCAGACCGCCCTTTAAATCCAACCATACTCTCATCACAACTTAAATTCCTATCAGGAGAAAAACTTGTACAATAAACATTATTTAAATGGTCTATCATTGGACGAATTTTGTACAATTTATCAAATGTAGAACTTTCCCTTTTAGGCATTTTACTATTATCGTTTAAGTGTAAATATCGTAATATATTTAAAAATCTTTTTTGGGTCATAATGTTTGATATTCGAAGATTATAAAAATTTTCATTTGCACTCCAATAAAGGCGTAAACTTGGTAATCTATGAAACCCCATTATTATAAGAATACCCAAAAAAGCTTTAAATTCAATAATAGATAAATTTAAATTTTTGCCACATTGGTTTGAGTACAAGTTAGATTGGTCAACAATATATTGATAAAAATCAGAAAAATATATATCAAAGTTTTGCATTGGTGATTTAATGTCTACTAACACATTAGGTCCATAAAATTCATTAAAATCAAATGAGTCATAAGATAATGATGTAAGAGGTTGGTCTTTTGAAAAACTAAATAATATGTTATTTTCATTATTATCTTCTATATAATTAGAATCATCATCTGAATTTTCAATAAAATCAACTAAGAGGTCCATATTTTCTATATTTAATGGTTCAGATATATTTAACATATTATTCTCATTGTCACTATTTTCTGCTAATATATTATCATTTGTATCTATATGTGGAATCGGTTCATATGAAGGATCAAAATCACTGTCATCAACTTCAGAGCCAGATGAGCTTTGTAGGGCATTGCTATTAATTGCAGATTTTAATTTCCTGGATCTAAGTCTTGATAATTTAGGCACTTCTGAAGAAATGGTTGATAAATTAGAGTCATCATGTGAATTAATATTACATGAGGAAGATGAGAGAGGGCTTGTAGAAGGACCACCATTAAATGCATTTTTTCTTTTACTACCTCTGGTTGTACTAGTTGGTGTATTACTTGCACTTGAAACACAAAGCACATCTTCGGCATCACTGTCGCCTCCAAAGTCTGAATCAAATGCCTGCTGGTCTGAAATACCATTTAATATTTCCAAAATGTCAATTTGTGACACATGTGGCATTTTTATTCAGAAGCTACAACAAAAAATAATTACCTATATAAAATACAACTAATATAATAAAAAAAAAAAATATGTGTATAACTACATTTTTGTTATCAATAAATGTCAACTATTTGCACTATATCTTCTTTGCGCAAATATTAACCTCGGAAAATATTATACCATTAAAAACAATAGATTGTAACGAGTCCAATGGTGTATAAATTACTAATATAATTTTAATTTATAATATAATACTCAACAATCTAAAATAAAATTTTTTTGAAAAATATTTTTTTTTATACTTTTATCGAATGTAAAAATACTATAAAACCATTGATATCGATAATTTATGATATATAACCTATGTCAAATTGTATAAAGAATTATAATATGTACTTACTTGATTGATTATACGTTGTAGTAAATGGTAGTCACACTAATTTCGTAAAATAATTTTAAAATTTGAAATGTTAACAAGTTTTAACGATTAGTGGCTTGTAGTTTGTACACAAGCCACTTTTGACAATAATGATTATCAATACGGTTATCACCATTATAATATTAAATAATTGTTGAACACATGTTATTATGTTATCATTCTATCGTAATTGATAAGCAAAACAAAAATTGATTTATTTTTATGGCGGTTTTTATATTGATAATAAAGTGGCTACTATCTATGCCACAGTTCCGTTAAACTATAATTAACAAAAATAATTTTGATCATACGGGTCTCTTCAATGGACGAGCCTACAAATGCCATAGATCCGGTGGTAAGTATTACTGATGCGGAGCCACTGTTGTTCATGTATTTATTCGATATCTACGTCGGTGATAAGATAACATTCAAATAATTACCGCGTGAATTTAAATATTATAATAATATAATCATTATTATTAATATAAGTAAATAATAAAATTGAGTATTGTAATTTTTATATCCTAAATCTAAATTATTATACTTATACCAAAAAAAAAAAAAAATACAATAATTAAAATTCTAACACGTCCTACAAAAAAAAAAATAATAATAATAATTTATTAAACTTTATCTATATACATTGTCCATGTATAGGAATTCCCGCGTTGTATATAATTGTATCTTTAATAGTTTAATATCAATGATCTTTATTATAATCAAGTGTCACTTCGAATATGGGTCGTATTATTATTACCACCATATATCGACCTACACAATTTGTATTACTGTTAATACTGTAGTATTTAGTATCTGAACATTAATGCTGCAGCCTGCAGGTATTTATTTTGTTGCTAGTGTATAAATGTCATAACATTATTAAAAGTATAAGTAATATACGTATAGTATTAATTATTTTGTATAATATGTCTTTTGTGGTGCCAAAAAACAAGGCAAATAAATAAAACTAAATTTCCTTAATTTTAGGATGTTTTAGCAATAGCATTAAAGATAAATTTGAATTATTAATTATTATGAATTATGTTCGGGTAATGAACTGTAAAAAAAAAGTAACAAACAATATTTAATTAAAATTAATTATATTAATTTTATGTTGTATTATATTTTTGTAGGACGTATTAGATAAAGTTTAATAAATTATTATTTTTTTTTTTTTCGTAGGACATGTTAGAATTATCATTCTTACATTTTTTGTTATAAGTATAATAATTTAGATTTGGATATAAAAATTACAATACTCAATTTTATTATTTACTTGTATTAATAATAATGATTATAATATTTAAATTCACGCGGTAATTATTTAAATGTTATCTTATCACACACGTAGATATCGAATTAATGCATGAACAACAGTGGCTCCGCAACAGTAATACTTGCCACCGAAACTATGGCATTTGTAGGCTCGTCTTCAATGGTGGCTGATATGGAGGCCACAGTTGTCTTATTTGTCGTATTTGAAAATTAGGTTTGCCCGTTAAAGGGATAAATCTTGGGAGCCAATTCAATACATAAAAATATAATTTATCTATGTTCGCGCGGGAGCCAAAATCAATAGCTCCGCCCATTGCATAACCCTTCCAAATTTAGACCTGACTAATTACACGACTTCACGATTGCGTAACCGGCAGACGTTCGGATATAAAAACGATATACACACCAATCGTAAAGTCAGTCAATCGGCTGCGTTACACGCTGTACCTATATATTAAACTATAATCGAGGAATAAATACACACACACACACACACACACAAACACAAACATATTTAAACACAAACTCATTGGACGAATCAATTTCGGGTCACCACTGCCATAGCGATCCATCGAGAAGCAGTTTCCGAAATAACAGATATCGCAAACCACATACAGAGTCATATATAGGTTAGAATAATAACACCAACAACAATATGTTTCTGTCGTACGCCGCCGTGGAAGTATTCACTTTTGCAATTTTGTTGAATATTTTCTACCTGTATTCGCCCGTCGAATCAGACGCAACTGGCCTTATATACCAGGGGTGCGAGGATTGTCTGCAGTCGGAATGCCACGTCAAGCGTAATAGGCCGTGCTCGAAAAGAGTGGACCCTGAGTACAAATTCGTTTTAGTTACATGTCACACGTGTGATCCTGCAAATGGCAACGAACAGTTCTATTCCAAAGATGAATGCAATAAGGTCTGCCCGCCGTTGAAGATGTGCGCTTGTGACGGATTATGTTACATGTGCATAATAGAAGAGTGCACCGATTTGACTACATTCAGGAATTGCACTGTACAAGATCAGGTGGGGCTAGAAGAGTGCGTGTAAGTTTCATATGGCACCGCCCGCTCGAACACCGTGAGATTATAATTATTAAAATAATGTTGTGACAATATATTTACAATTAAGATTTTTGGTTTTAAAAAAATAAATAATGACCCATTACATAGTAATATTATGCGTAGTATAATAGTATATAATAGTATTTAATGTATTTGATGGTTTTACTTCGCACAATATTCTTACATAATATAGCCAATAGGTCACCGCCACAGTGACCCGTCGTCGTGAATAATATTATTGTTATACTGTTGCACTGTGTCAGAGGTGTGTAAATAATTTTTAAAACTTCCCTCCCGATCGGTAATATTATAAATATTATATGAGCATAAATGTCACCCGTTTCCCGAAAATTTGTTCGCTTGTGAACAAAAGAAACAATGAAAATACAAAAATTCTTTAAACTATACTATTGTTTTTTCATATTATTTAAGATTATATCTATTGTATCATTAAACATTATTGTTATTATACTATACAAAATAATATATAGTTAAGATGATAAATGCTTGTAATATTTTATTATGTAATCGGTGCACTTAAATAATTCTATGCATTATTTCATCAATATTAAACAATTACTCCTTCACGTATATATTTTGTGCTTTATTAATTTATTTTTTAGAAGCTCTAAGCTCCGTCGTATTCGAATGTTGTAAAGCTGCATCTGGTCAATATAAGAATTAATCATTAAAAAATATTATTTGCTTATAATAATACAGAGTGATTCACTAAGCATTTTTTGGAATTGTTAAAGACCATATTTTCAAATTCCTTAGATTTTTTGCACCTTCTATTCAACATTTTAAACTGTAAATTATTTAACGAACATTTAGATGTATAAAAATGAAAATTCGAGAGAGCAGTTTTTTGCTAGGCATTTAAAGCTCTGTGAAGGTACTAAGAACAATGAGGTTCACGATGTGAGGTTTGGAAGATATGAAATTATAATTTAAAAATCTTACTAATTAACATTAATCTATCAACAATTATTAAAATTTGTATTTTGTGAAAATAGTCAAAGTGTAATAAATATTAGATCTAATATTACAATCTATTTGATATTCCGAATTTGAATGAATTAATTATTAAATGAAAAAATAGGGATGTGTACTCTTGTCTCTTAGTGAATTACAATTACCTATATACGATTATAAGATAATTATTTTATACTGATCTCCCTTTGTTACTTAGTCCTTTGATACCTACTTTATATAATGTTGAGGTGTAATGCTTATTAGCAACACCTATTCATATCTTGTATTATGAATTGGCTCTGTAGTCTGTACCTATCTCTAGTTTTCTATGTAATATAGACTTGTTTATAATATAATATAGCAGAGTTATTAGTTATAAAACTTTTTAAAAGCCTAATGAAATTTAAAATAATATGCGTAACATCAGATAATCTGAATATTTCAACAGAACTATAATAGGTACATAATTAAAAAAGGTGGGCAAGTGGGTGTCGCTCTGCTGTACAGTAGGTTACAAGTGGGTCATTGTATAATGGATGGTATTAAATTTGAATTCAATGATATAATATCATTGTATAAGAAAAACGATTCTGAGCGGAGACGGTATGTCCTTCTAGGTAAAAGACCTATTATATACATATCTATGGTATTAAAAAAAATTGACCTATAATGAATTCCAAATTAATCATATCACAATACACATTAGGTACTTATAACACGTTATACATCAATAAAAAACCCTGATACTATCATAGATATATAATATAGTGTACTTTAGAAGTTTCAAGTACCCACGAATAGTATTATACACTCACAACAAAATAACTAAAATAGGTATGCTAGGTTTTTTAATATGTAATTTCGTCCCAAATTTGAACTTAAAATGTCTGTAAAAAATAACTGTGCTAATATATTTTTTAGATTTTTTGGCTACAGTATGAACTATTTATGAGAATCTTTTTTTTAAATTTTCAATCCTTAGCTATAAAAACTGAACATTTTATAATTTATTAATTACGATGATTGATAATTTTCGAGATTTTGATAAATTTTGTCAAAATGCGATCTTTAAATGCATATAAAAAAAAATTGTGCCTATGTATTTTTAATATTTTTCAATTGCTATTGTAACAATATATCAGGAGCCTTGTATTAATTTTTCACACTTTTTGGCCTAACAGATAAAACTTTATTAATATTTATAGAAAAAAAAAACTAAAAAAATTGAAAACTGAAAATGTCCGTAAACGGCTCAAAAAGAGTCAAAATATTTTCAAAATTGTATGGTGTATAGGAAATGCTAATATAAACATTCAGTGAAATTTTCATGTATCTACAGTTGTTCGTTTTTGAATTACAACAAAATAAGGAAATCGCTACATGAGAAATCGAGTGAATATCCAATGTTGTAAAAATTTTAATTTCAAACGCTCATAAAAATTTAACTTGACTGTCCGGTAGAGATTTTTTTATTGATAAAGGTAGATAATCTTATAAGGAATCTTGTGTTTCATTTTCAAATCTTAGATTTAAAAAGAAAAATTTTTACGAATTCTTAACTCAAAATAATTTGCTAATTTTCGTGATTTTTCCATATTTTGTAAATTTTTGAACTTTAAATGCTTATAAAAAAAAATGTGACTAAGGATTTTTAATATTTTTCATCTGCCTTTGAAACAACATATTAGGAGCCTTCTATTAAATTTTCAAGCTTTCGCAACCAACAAATAAAATTTTATTGATATTTCTAGAAAAAAAACTAAAAAAAAATGAAAAATGAAAATGTCCCTAAACAGTTCAAAATAAATCAAAATATTTTGAAAATGTTATCGTGTATAGAAAATGCAAATATAAACAACCAGTGAAAATTTCATGTATCTATGGTCATTTGTTTTAAAGTTACACCAAAAACCAAATTCGATTTTTTGGAAAATCGATTTTGCGTAAAAATTCCCGTTTTTCCTTAATTTTTATGTTGTTTTTCCCGGCGCTTGTGAAAACTACTGGAAAATGTTTACTTTTGACCCCCCAAAGTACCAACTAGATTCACTTTCCTATCAGAAAAGGTACTATTGAAGAAAATCGAAGCACTTTTACTGTCCCAAAACGTGATGACAGACACAAAAATAAAAAAATATAAAAATATAAAAATATAAAAATATAAAAATATAAAAATATAAAAAAAAACACACATCATTGTAAAACCAATACATTCATCGTTCCGCTCAGAATCTAAAATGCATAAGAAAAGGGAATCATATTTTATCAAATAAAATCCACTAAAACCTTAAAAATATTAAATACCAATATTAATATATTTTCAATTTTCAATTTAAAACGACCTTAAAATAACCATTTTTTTTTTTAGAAATCCCATGAAATAATTGCATTACATTTGTATTTATTTTTCGCACATCTGATTTTAAATTAAAAAAGTGATTCCTAAGAAGCATAGTGTAGAAGTTTATAAATTCAACCATTTTTCCGAAATTACAATCAAACTTCAGGAAGTATGATTAATTTAATACCGCTTTTAGTAGTCATATAGTCATGCAAACAAGAATATATTTCATTTTTGGCAATGTATTGACATGCAGCGATTCTCGGAAACGAAAACTGATTACATACACTAATGTTCATTTACTACTCACACATAGATACAGTATTAATTTATATGTCACATGAATTTCCTATATATATAGTACTCCTTAAAATATGCTACGGTGCAGCCCCCTTAAAAGTAAATGGTCAACATTTTGAACATTTATTAATATATATGTAAATGGCTATTTTAATTATTAAATATTGTTATATTTTATTTAACAGTCAGCCAAAACAGCCTTTATTAGGCCCAGCATTAACTTAAGTGTAACTCAATATAGAGGGACTTACACCTCAAAAACAATTTAGAGTCTCAGAAATGGTAAGAGAGCAAGATTGAGGAATACTTCTCTTACAAGAAACTCACAGATGCTTAAATCAAAACAGACCTAAAATGAACGGCATGACTTTGGTCATAGAACGACCACATAACAAGTACGGAAGCGCTTTATTTGTAAAAAACAATAAATCTGTCAAGTCAGCGTCTAAAAGCGAAACAAATACCACCGAGATCCTAATTGTGGATCTAAAAACATGTTTAGTTACGTCAATTTATAAACCCCCTAATGAGAATTTCATTTTCGATGAACCTGAACATTTTAGGGACAATAATGTAAGAATTGTCGTTGGGGACATTTACAGCACAAGCTGGGGGGGGGGGCGGAATATGAAGGGGCTGAGGTATAAAATTCGGCCGAAGTCAATCGTTTTAATTTCTATATCAACTCCTTTGACAGTAGTAGGAGGAAAAAGGGCTAAAATCCTGACAACATTTTCGCTAATGACAATATAGCCAGTCCATGTATAAAGACCCGATCCCATGAACACAGCTCCACCCAATATCATGATTAGAGCTGCGATAGTGACATCAAATATACAGTTTCGTAGACATGTTAATTTTAAGAAAGAAAATTTAAAAGGCTATGTTGATGAAGTTGATGAGAAATTTAGACATAGCCTCAAGGAGATACATACCTAGAGGATGTCGAAGAGTTTTCATCCTAGGGATGAAAAATTCACTAGGTACTATCCAGATTACAAGAATATAGGTTATAGGTCCTAAGTCAGCCATAGATATGCACAGTTTATTGTATAGTCAAACATAAACATAAATAAATATCAATATATATTATATATCTTCTTCTCAATATTTATTATGAATTATGGTTATTGTCACTATAAATATTTTTGGATTAACATTTTTAAAGAGTAATTTTGAACTCCTTGGCCACTGACTTCATCTATCAGCTGTAATATCGGTAATTATAACTCCTAAATTTCTATGTGTGATATGGTATAATCTATTAATTACTTTCCCTATCCCGTGACTCATGTTATTCATGTTACTCATATTAAAACATTTAATTTAGGTAATTAATATATATGTATATATATATATAACAATTTTGTACCTATACATTTTTGTTTTGTTCAACCAAAACAAAAGTCATTGGGATTTGGGATAACATGATTTACAAAAATACAAACACAACATTAATTACGGGATCGGGAAAGTAGCCAGTTGAGCTTTTTATTTAGCTTATAATCTATAATACTGTCGTATATTGTAGACAGTCGTCAAGATATTATTATTTAATATATGTATATGTAATAGAGGTGGGAACATTTTAAATTGTAAACTATTGACATAGGTCAGTGAAGCATATGTGCTGAGACAGCGATAAGACTACTATATAACACCGCCGCACGCGCAGGCACGGGGAGTCCCGTTGTCGCTGAGTGAATCGGCGGGACGTATGTACTGTGGTCGTACGTGTGAAACGTCGATCGTAGTACGGGCTAGGCAATCTGAATTTGCTAAGTGTTTCATTTATGTTTGTTTTAATATAATAAAAGTGTTTCCGACCTAAAAACCCGAGGTGAGTATTATTTCAAAGTCTTCTTCGTTCTTACCTTTAATATTGGAACAGTGCTCAGACCCACACACCTATAGTCAATGAGGTTTATTACAAACTGAACAGTGCTCTGGTTGTGGCGTCCTAATAGTCATTCCAATTTAGGAAACGGACGAAGAACTGACAAAACGCATACCATCGTACCTCAAAGGTTAACAGTGCTAATCTGAATTTATTCTAGAGACAGTATGTCATTACTCATTAGTCATTAGCCTAGAGCGTACGAAGGTAAGGTATAAAGTTGGTTTACCGCGTATTATCCAATACGGGTGATACCACAATACCTATACGTATAACTTGTTATTTCTGTGAGGTTAGAAGGTGTACCCATAAATCTATTTAAAAGGGTGGTTTTATCATCGGCAATCTATGAGAAAATTGCAATTTTATGACATAAATTTCCAATAAATTGTTGTTGAAAAAATCGCATCTGCAAGTTGCAGCTTTACAATATTTGAATACGACAGGGCTCAGAGATTTCAGAAAATTAATTAAAAAAGCTCAAAGTACATACGTGATAGACTAGTTTAATATTTATGAAATAATACATAGAATGATTTACATTATTACTACATAATGTATTATTACAATCGTTTATTATCTTAACTATATATTATGTATACTATAATTATAATAATGATACAATAGATAAAATCGTAAGGAATGTCGAATAACAATAATATAGTTTAAAGAATTTTTGTGTTGACATTTTTTTTTGCATGCAGCTGAAAAAAAATTTTAAAACGGGAGACTGTCTTACCTATATAATATTTATAATACCTACTAACAATCTGGAGGATAGTTTTAAAAATAGTTTACGCTCCACTGCTGCAGAACAATAATAATACTATGCACGACGACAGGTAACTTGGGTGGCGGCTATACCTATTGTGCGAGATTATTGTGCAAAGTAAAACAGTGAAAACAATATTAAATTCTTCACGGCTTTAATCGGAAGCGTATTAAAACGTTTATATATATACTACATCATAGTATAATCATGTAGTGGGGTATTGTCACCCCTATGTTACCGCTATGTGTACCATTTGTGGTACATGGTTTATTTGCATTCGAGCTAAACCAAAAAGTAGCGAACATGCCTTATTTTCTACGAACATAAAACTTTATGAAAAAGTTTGATATTTGTATTATAGTTTTTATTAATTTTTATATTAGTTTATTATGCGATTATAAAATATGATTTTGTATCGAGATTAATGATTTACAATCATGTACCAAATATGGTATACGCAGTCCATTTTTTTATAAGAACAAAAATCACAATTGAAAACAAATTATTATAGTATTATTAAAATTACACCGTGGGCATGCTGGCGGTGCTGTACGGAACCTACACGCACGTTGGTACCTCGTTTGGGATGTTGCAGTCCGTGAAATTGGCCTTATCGAAGCCTTCTTTGACGCACATGTAACACGAGAAGTCGCAAGCGCAATGATAGTCCTCGCCGGTGCAGCCCTCTAAGCAGTCTTGTTGGGAGTAGAACTGTTTGTTCTTCTGGACACAGGAAACATGTGAAATTGTACTCAGCGTTCCATGTGGTATAGCATGGCCTATTATTTTCAGCGTGGCACTTCGATTTCAGACAATCCTCGCAAAGCTGGTAGACCCTGCCGGCTGTCGGTTTCCATCGATTCGATGGGCGAGTACAAGTATAAGAAACTCAACAGTATTGTGAAAGTGAACACGGGCACGGCGGCGTCCGACAGAGACATTTTGTTGTTGTTGTTGTTATAATAACCTATATATGCAGTACGATATATCTGTTATTTCGGAATCGGCTCCTCGGTAGATCACTTGGAGTGGTGACTCGAAGTTGATTCAGTGAATAAAAGTGTTTATATGTATATGTGTGTGTGTGTGTGTGTGTGTGTGTGTATTTTATATTACTGCCGCGACAAGTATAATATATAATATATTATAGGTTCAGTGTGCACGATAAACAATATTCCAGTAGTAAGTAATTATAAATTATGTGTGCGTTAATAGCTGATTGACTGATAATTAGATCGGTGTGCATATCGTTTTTATATCCAAACAGCCGGTTATAAGACCGTATCATTGGTCGGGTATAAATGTGGTAGGGTTAAAATGATTGGTTGTTTAATGATCACACAAACATATAATATTTAACTTCTGTCGTTTAGTGTGTGCCGAAAGTCACGTATCGCTCTAATAAAATCTTAGTGTCAAATCCACGCGGTGATGCTTACCTAGTAGCGATTATTTCAACTGAAATTTATTCGAAATGTATAAATTACAATATTCTTTGAATTATCGACTGTAAAACCACCCCTCTTAATCTACATAGTGAAATCACTAATATTATGAACTGGATATCCAGAAAGTGAAATTTGTCCAGATCGTGAACTTTGACGAAAATACATTTCATGAAATGGAGATACCTTTATTGTATACTTTGTGTAATTAGTATAAAGCAAACTTTTTTATGTTATTTAGCAATGAAGTATATAGTAAACCTTCTCATAAAAACCATCCATTCTATACATTTCTTTATTGTTTTATGAACAACAACATAATATGTCAATAAATTATACGATAAAATTATTATAATATAAATTATATTTTAATTAATAATTGTTTTATTAAATATTAAATAATTTATTGACTTGTTATAAGCTATGTATAGGTACCTACGTATAACCTACATTTTTTATAAATGTACCATACGTATTTTATATATTGTTTTACCTTACTATTTATTTTTGCACGAAGATTTATTATAACATTAACTGGTATATAAAGCATGTACCATACGCATTTTATATATTGTTTTACCTTACTATTTATTTTTGCACGAAGATTTATTATAACATTAACTGGTATATAAAGCATGTTATTTTTAAAATATGAACACCTACACAAATATTATGGTTGCTGGATCTGTAGGTTCATTATTAAGTTTCGGTATTCCGAACACAACGCATTGATTAATTAATAATTTCAAAATCGTCTGATATTTTTTTGTTTCCCTGAATAAATACATTTTAAGTAAGATCTAAAAGTACGTTGTAGGAACCCAGTTAAGTTGACGTGTTGGGTAAGATGATTAATATATGATATAAAAATAACGATTAAGCTGATAATCAATAGTTTGAGAAAACCAACATAATACATTTGGAAACATTTAATCCCCAATTTTCAAATTATTAAATTGATAAAAAATGTATTTACAAAAAAAGAAATTAAGTTTAGCCAATGTAATGTTATAAACTGTTTTCATAACCAGATATAATAATTGACAGAAATCTGTAGGTAAAATCAATTATTTTAACTCATAAATTGAATGATATACTTATTCTTAGTTGTCATTTATTATGTTATTTATTTCAATTACCTTTATTTTTTTTTGTAAGGTATTAATCAAAACACTCGTTTGCGCACAATCCAAATTGTTTACCTAGATATCGATGACTCGTTTGCGCACAACGAATACCGTCGTAACCTAAAAACGGACGACTCGTTTGCGCACAACATAAACACTGCATAACATATATTTTATATTTTTAAATTTGGACTAACTTAAGTAATTGATTATCGGTACAAATTATCAGTACATCAGCATATCAATATTCAATATATCATTATCATCATTGAAAATAATCGACGTGTATTAAACATAATGTTTTTAAGCAGTCGTTCTTCAGAAAGCGGTACTATCTACTGACTAGTGACTATGGATATCGAAATTTGTGATATTTTTGAAAGAGAATTTCGAACTTAAAAATCTAGTGATACACATTTTAGGTGTACAAATAAAAAATGTTCCTTGAGTGATGTAGTAAGGTTAGTTAATAATAAAAAAATATAAAATTTTAAAAATGACAAACACGCATAGAACCACTATTACTTCTTATTAATTGTATAATTATATATTTATTCAGAACAGACACAGAACAGATGGTCCTAAGCTTATATTAAAGTGAGAAGAGAAATGTGCTGTTCTGCTCAAAGTGAAATGTGCGCAAATGAGTTGTACCTTTATAATTTAAACCCAAAATATGTGTGCGCAAACGAGTTGTGATTTTGTGCGCAAACGTGCCGTAAAAAAGGTAAATGTGCGCAAACGAGTCGCACCCCATAGTACCTACAGGTAAATTGGAAAAATTTATATACCTCAACTTACCTGAATATTTTTTTTTATAAAGTATAATAAGTAGAATTTGTTATTATAAGGTATTGTTCTTAAATCGGGTTTTGTGGACTGTATATGACGATTGTGGTAAAGATATGGATGTTATGGATGTGCAAAAAATGTAGAAATTATATTTTAGGGTATCCCACTGAAGTACTAACCGATCATCAAGCTTTAGTATTTCTCAACAAGTGTCAACTTCTCAACAGCAGACTTACGCGTTGGTCGATCACACTCCAGGAATACAATTTAACAGTACGCCATATTCCTGGCAAGGAAAATATAGGCGCCGACACCCTTACAAGATACCCACAACATCCCGACGATCGTGAACACCCACCTCGAATCAATTTAACCATCAACCAACTCATGCTTATTGACTATAGTCCCAATCTCCAGATACAATTCACACATTTTAGGGAGCACCAGAAACAAGATCCACGACTTAATAAAATTATGTCCAGGATCCCGAAGGAATGTGATGAACGATTTATTATTTTCAAAAATATATTATTCTCAGTAGATCGTCATAAAAAAAATAGGGCCATGGTCTCAGAGAACATGGCTACTCAGATGATTAAAGAAACCCACGAACACTTTGGACATACGGGCACTTACAAGGTATATGAGCTACTACGACACCAATATCAATTCAAAAATATTCACCGAGCAATGAAAAAAGTAGTTAAGTCATGTGACCTATGCCAGAAAAGTAAAGTGAATAATCAGATAGCTAGGGGACCACTATTGTCCCACATTCCTGAAGGCCCTCGTCATACAATGTCCTTGGATTTAATGGGACCCCTACCCAGGGGACAGTATGGAATGAAATATATCTTGGCCATAGCAGATGTGTTTTCAAAATACGTCAAACTGTACGCTATCTGTCGAGCTACTACCGATACAATATTGAAAAAAATCAAAGCGGACTACATGGCGAAATATGGACCAATCAAACAGATACTGACCGACAATGGCACACAGTTCCATAACGACAAATGGGTCAAGCAGCTGCAAGCTGCACGAATCAAAGCCCTCTTCACTACTAACTATCATCCCGAAGGCAACCATGTGGAAAGGACTAATCGGGAAATCGGTAGGATATTAAGAACTTATTGCCACTCTAAACATACCGGATGGTTAAAATGGATCAATACCATTGCATTTTGGTTTAACAATACAACCCATGAATGTACCGGGTATACACCTCAACAAATTATGTTTGGAACACGTCATATACTGACCATCGATAGATTATTAGATTTTCCAGAGCCTCATGAAAAACAATTTGAGAAAATCACTTGTCACCTGATCAAAAATAGATTAGAAAAAAATGCTGCTGCACGTAACAAAATGAAAGACCAAAATAAAAAATTTATAAATTATCAACCCGGACAACAAATACTGGTGAAAGAACATCGCCTTTCATCGGCCAAAGACAAGACTAATCACACATTTATCCTATTATATCGGGAACCATATACTATCGCTGAAGTAAGAGAAAACAATACCGTCACTTTAGAAATAGAACCCGGAAATATGCAAGCACACAATCTGAAGAATATAAAGTTGTATATTCCGCCGGATCCCGGGGAAGAAAAGCAACTCCACAATCATTAAATTATTCCTATATTCATGTCAACTTACCCGTGTCATATAAAATAACCATATCCTGTTTTGTTATTTTAGGTAAGTTGATATAAGAATAACGAAAAATGACACAACCATGGCCATCTGACCCTACGGAAAAGGCTAACAAATTAAAAGAATTACATAAAAAGTATCACTGTATATTTGTGGGAAGATCTACCAAAACCATTGGAGCCGACAATATCAATCCTTCAGACCCGACACTTCAAAAGGCAGAAGACGATATAATCCATGACCACCATATACGAAAGATTACATGTCCCTCCATTACAAAAGATATTCAGCAATTGAAACAGGAAGCTCAGTACCGCTGAATGAGACTAGCTCAGCAGACCAACTACACATTAGAGCCTACCTTCACAATGCCAGAGAGTGTTATCTGTGTACCAAAATCAGGAAAAGAGGATAATATTCCGTCAACAACAGCTACGTCCGAACTGTCTTCCAATATATCAGTACTAAAAAGCAAAGACAACACAACAAAACAAGACATCATTTCTACAACCGACATCGAGGCCGATCCAGAATCAGATGCACCAATGATGGCACAAGAACTAGAAATCCTCTTACCGCCAGAAGAGCAGAGAGAGATCGAGCAGGATGAAGCCGCCGTATCCCAACCACCTCTCGAAAGCAACAGAGCGCGAAAAAAGCGTCTCTGGGTCGCTAAAATCATCAAGCAACCCTAACTCTTGGATCCATATGATCTCTGAAGCACCCTATCATAACGGAAAAGTCATCCGAAGGTAAAACCTATAATAAAATAACTAAATAAAAAAAAAATTTGTTTCAGATTAAAATAATAATGGTGTATTGTATATTATTGGTTGCTATTGTTTAATCTGGCATGTTTGTTGATTTGTATATTAGTCCCTGATTATAAGTTATGTAACCTAGTACTTGGTACAATATCGTACATGCAAGAGTTAAGGCGCCTTCACAGCTCACCGTGAAACGTGATAATATATAATTTGTTCCCGTAAAAATATTCTTAACCACGAGTCCACGACTGTCAACCATACGGCAAACACACGCTCTGAGTAGGATTGAACTCAACTATACGGTATAAGCGGTATAGATAAGGTATTAAGAAAAAAATGATTGGTTAACCATTAGATAACCACATGGTTCAACCAATCACAGTTCTAGAATATATCACGTTTCACGTTTCACGGGGAGCTGTGAAGGCGCCTTTATATACTATTATATATATATGTATCAGCCCGCATTCGTCGATGTTTCTACTATTCGTATCAGTATTCAGTACCTATATCATAGGTACTGACTACTGAGAATCTTTTGTTAGTGCGCCGATACGATTCCGCAATCAAACACGCTTGTTTTGGTATTTTTACATTTTAATACTTAGTAGTTCTAAAATAATCTATTTTAGTATTTTATAAATATTATTTTCTTCTATTTAGAATATTCAATAAAATTAAAAAAAAATTATTTTTAAGTTAATTGGTTTGAGATTTACGGTTTTGTATACTTCCGATTAATTAACCGGTTCTAAAAATAAACGGTTACCGTTATAGATTTCCCCCTTTATCAAATTCCGTGATTACCGGTAATTGATAACCGCTTCTCAAAATTGAAACTCGAGAACCGGGAAGCGGATACCTGTCCAAAAAGTACTCATGGTAACCGGTTACCGGGGAAAAATCGGTTACCGGTTTCAAGCCCTGGTAAAATGTACATATAAAAATATGGGGTTTGGTAAGTTCCCACACGAAACATAGCAGGTAAGCGAGTACATATGTAAGTTCCCTCACGAAAAATAATACGCCCGTACGTAAGTTCCCACACGAAAAAAAATACGCCTGTACGTAAGTTCCCACACGGAAAAAATTACACCTGTACGTAAGACTTAGGAATGACAACTTAAACGAAATTGGTGTGGTTAAAATTTGTTTTGTTTTTGTATTGGATAAAAATAATCCAATTCAATTTTTTTAGGTATAAAATAATAATAATAATAGAAATTAGAAAAAAAATCAAATTTTATTTGGTTTATTGCGAAAGCTCAAACACTTCACTTCTTCTTCTCCACTTTTTCTTCTTCCACACATTATTTGTATAGGTATAAAATAAATAATAATAATAGAAAAAATCACATTTTGTTTGATCTAATAACACTTTACAGTATAGTCATACTGTGTTTATAAAAATATACCAATATGTATTTTCCCACGTGGCGATAAAATTTAATGCATTACATTCTATCTACAATTTTATTATCTTTATTATCTGTTGGCTATGAAAATATTAAATAGTATGGACAGTCCATTTTATTGATTTCAGTACTCGTTCATTATTAATATATTTAATATACATCAATATACATCAATATATATCAATTTATATAAACATTATTATGTGTATGAAATTTTTTATTTTGAAAATAAGAAAATTTTAACTTTAAATTAAGTTAAGTTACTTTTCTTCGTTATTTTTTTTCGTGTGGGAACTTACGTACAAGTGTAATTTTTTTCGTGTGGGAACTTACGTACAAGTGTAATTTTTTTCGTGTGGGAACTTACGAATGGATATCCAGGGGTAATTTTTACCTGCTATATCTCGTGTGGGAACTTACATTCGCCCAAAAAATAGTATAAACCTTCAAGTATAGCTGAAGCCAAATGCTGACCAGTTAAATTATGTACATTAACATACTTCAAAAAAATCTCACATAACTTAGCATTTTCTCCAGTACCATTAACAAAACGTACACACAGCGTAAGCTGTTCCTTAACTGACACATCCGTTGTCTCATCAGCTAATACAGAAAAGTACTGAGATGCATTTACTATCTTTACTAGTTTACTTAGTATTAGGTCACCACATATGGTAATAATTTCATTTTGTATTTGAGGACTTATGTATTTGTTTTATAAAATAATTTTTGATATTACTCATATTAATTATTTTAATATAAAAACGAGTTCACACTTGACACTTTACAAATTATTTCCAATGACAATATATTAAAAAATAATAATAAAATATAATTCATAGGGATTTACGTGAAAATATAATATGTTATTGTAGGTATAATATTATAATATTGAGGTAATTATACGATAACATTAAGATTAAAGATACTAGATAGCATGAACATAATACTGTTATAGTATAACGTGGTATAACAGTGATAATAACTAATAAACTTTATGGCTTATCAGCTTATAACACCAGTACCTACATTCTACAACTATCTAGTCATGAACATTAGAAATAAATAAAATAAATGTATTATCTAAATTGGATCACTCTACGAGGCGTGACCGTTTTTCCTGCAGGCATATTTTTGAGCAAAAAAACAGGTCATGAACTCTCGTGCCCTTGAATCCAAGTGCTGTTGAGGCTCTTGTATGTTCATCAGCAACACACTATTATTAGAGTTGAAAAATATTGAGGCTTCATTGCTTCATCGGTACACGTAAAGAAAAGCCAATACCTATTAAAAAGGAACACTACGTAGTACTAAAGTATATTATATTATATTATTCTATTCGTACTTTATTTAACTCAAGTACTTAAATAATAAACAAGAACTAAGCAGAATATCACACAAAATATTAATGTGGATTGTGTAGATTAGGTTAGGTTAAGCTTTTATACGTCTGATATTTTTGAATTCAATCAAACATTATAATATAAATACATATATTACATAACATATGATCAAATTATTGTTCTTAGACAACCTATGCATTTAAAAATGTACAGATAATAATTTTACTATATTAATGTGTAAACTATAAATAGGTTATTTGGTAGCCTTATTAAAACAATAGTTTAATATAATTCATCAATAATTAATACCATATAATAATAATATGTAAAATGTACATATAAAAATATATAGGTACAATGGTATGTACATAATATACAACATGTTGTGTTAAAAGGTGAATATTAGTGAACTAATACCTACAAGCAGCACTATTAACAACAACGAAAAATTAAAATGCGATATATTAGTTGCGTATAATCAAATATTTAATTAAATAACAAATCTGCGATCCGGTTTTATATTATCGTTTCGGGTTTTAGTAATATTTACGACTGCGATCTTTGTACAATTGTATAGCACGACAGGTACCATATTTAAATACATATTTTGAACAGAATGTTTATCATAATAATTGAACAGAAGTTTTGGTAAAATAATTGCAAGGCATAAATTAATAGTTGGCATTAAGTACCTACGCTGATAATTGAAATATCGTTGCCAAATTTATTTTGCAAACATGAAATGTTTGTTAGCTCCAAATCAAACAGTCGACCCAAAATCAAATGGTAAGGCACTGATATAAAATATGTACAGATCATAATATAGAATTATGTAATTGTAAATTACAAAATCAATCAAGTTCCAAATCGAAATTGAAATTCGATCAACATTTTAGATTCTGATTATTTTAGAATGATGATTATGACCTTTTAGTGTGGTAAAATGCTTAGATTTTCCTGTAATTAAAAAATTATAAAATCTTCAATCTTTATAGATAAGGTTGAACATTTAAAACAAAGTTTCTTATAAATAGTTCATACTGTAATCAAATAATCAAAAAAATATATACATATAACACAGTTATTTTTTAGTCATTTTAAATTCAAATTTGGACCAAATTACATATTAAAAACAATAATAACAATTTTAGTTATTTTTTTGTAATTAAAAAATATTATTCGTGGATATAATGCAACTTTTGGATTCTAATATATTATTATAGTTGATACACACAATGAAATTTTAAAATGTAATTTTTTTGGCAAATACCAATGAATTTTAGGAAAATCCACGTTCCAAGTAGAAAAATTGAATTTCAAAAAATACAATAGGGGCGCCATCTGTCCATAAAAAAATTAACTAAATAATAAAAAAATTTGTTTCAGATTAAAATAATAATGGTATATTGTATATTATTGGTTGCTATTGTTTAATCTGGCATGTTTGTTGATTTGTATTATTGTTATTGTTTTATTTTTATTTTTTACTCAAGAACGGCTGGTTCGTTTGGCTCAATTTTTTTTTTTAGATATTCGTAATTGCCAGGAGATGATTTATACGAAAGAAAATTTTAGGAAAATCAACTGGAAAAGTAGGAAATCTGGATGAAAAAAAATACAAAAGTGTATTATAATTTATATTGGTTGCTATTGGTAAATCGGGCATGTTTTTTGATTTGTATTTTGTTTTTTGTCAATATATATATATATACCTAAATAAATGAATGTTTGTGACTTGTGTGTAGGTTAGACCTCTGAGCAGAAGACAGGCTAATTTAAAAATGGTTATATTCGGTTTTTTTTTTTAATCTGATATTAGTACGTTTAGGATTTTATATTAACTGGTTATATTAATCCATCATAGGTGGAATACAACAAACTTGGTATAACTTTGATACTTTAGAGTTAAATCATTCACTTAAGTAGGTACGAACATCACGGGGTCCGCGATCTACCGCAGGTAGAATGCCTATACCTGATAATATACTGCTGCGAATCAGAATTATTATTATTATTCCAGGCAACGGAAAAGTTAAGACGAATTGTGAACACCATACACTGAATAATAAATAACGAATTGAACAAAGTTTGAGTCATATAGATTTGGTACATTTAACGGGTAACGAAGTACACGGGATCAGCTAGTACATAATATTTTATGATAGATGCTTGTTATATTATATGATGTAATATGAGCAGTGCGCACTTAAATCATGCTATGTATTATTTAATCAATATTAAACTACTATTCTATCACGTAATATACTTTGTGCTTTATTAATTTTTTTTTAGAATCTTTGAGCACCGTCGTATTCGAATGTTTTTGCCAGTTAATAATTTATGCCTTGCCTTGTATTCAAATGTGATACTTGTCGGCTGTCGTTCTGTATAACTGTACAAAGATCGCAGTCATAAATATTAGGTAAGTACTAAAAGCAGAAACGATAACATAAATTTGGCAAGCAGATTCGTCATTTAATTAAATATTTGATCATATCCAACCATTATATATCACAGTTTAGTTCGATACGGGACTTTCTGTATGACGGAAGATAAATAGCGTAATAAATTAGTCGTGATCATTCGACCGCCTATTGCGTAACCCTTAGATCATATACAATGGATGGAGTCATAGCATACTACGCGTATAAAATGAGTTGATGCCAACATTACTGTAGGACCTGTGACATCTGCGCATGCGTGACTGCTTATCATAATACATCAATCTGTTTATCTTAACTGCGCGTCTGCAGTGCGACTCTGCACTCTGCGTCTCTGTGCCAAACATTAATGATAAGAGACCACGCGCATGCGCATATCACCGAGGTCCTACAATGATGTTGGCTTCACAAATAGTTCGTATGGCTCTATCCATTGTATATGATCTAAGGCGTAACCCTATAATATTTAGACCCCACCAATAACACGACGCCACGATCACGTGGTTACGTAGCCGACAGCCGTTTGCATGCAGAGTATAAAAACGATATGCACACCGATCGAAATGCCAGTCATTCAGTTATATTAACGCACAAACGAACATTATTATCATCATTATAATATCGTTTACCGTACACTCTGCACCTATAATAATATATACTTATCGTTGCAGTAGTTTATAATATACATACACACATAAATATTATACATACACACATTCACCGAATAATTTGTAGTCTCCACTGCAAGCGATCCACCGAGAAGCAGATTCAGAAATAACAGATATCGTACCGCGTATTATATAGGTGAAGATAATAACAACAGTCAACAATATGTTTCTGTCGTACTCCGCCGTGCCTTTGTTCGCTTTCACGATACTGTTGAATTTCTTCTTCTTGTACTCACCCATCGAATCGGCGATAAACGGAATGATCTACGATACGTGCCAGGATTGTCTGGCTAGCCCATGCCACGCAAATGCAAACAGGCCGTGCATTTCCAGATCCGACGGCGGGTACTTCTGTTTCACGTGTGATACCGAAAATGGCAACCAACAGTTCTACAGCGAAGACGAATGCAAGAAAGGCTGCCTGGACCCGAAGTGGTCGTGCAACTGTAACGACGCGTGTTTCGTGTGCATCGCAAATGATGCCATCAAAAATGCTAGTTTAGCGAATTGCGATTTGCCAACCAAGGAGGACTTGGACGTAACGTGCGTGTAAGTTCCGTACGGCACCACATGTAAGCCCGCCTTGAGATTATAAATAAAATATGATTATATGATACATAATATATTGTATTTTCAGTTATCATTTTTGTTGTTATAAAAATAAAACACAATTACATAATAATATTATATAGTTTTAATATACTCATCCAATCGCCACCGTATATAGTCTTAACGGTTTTGCTTCCCGTGATATTTTCGTACAATATAGTCTTCTTAGCAAACCGTCTTCTTGCATAGATAATTTTATTATTTTGCCGCAGCAGTGGTGCGTAGACTATTTTGAAAACTATGCTCTCGATTAGTAATATTATAATTTTATATAGGTATGACTGTCAAGTGTCAACAGTTTCCTGAAAATGTGTTCGCTGTGTGAAAAAAAACAACGAAAATACAAATATGCTTTAAAGTCCAAACCATATTATTGTTGTTCATATTCTTTACGATTTTATCTAATGTATCATTTGTATTACCTATTTTATTATACATGACATATACAGGACTAGACACGACAAGGTTCGAGGGTGTGGGGGGTTGACCACGAAATGTTATACAACAGACGGAGTTCGGGAGGATATTTTCCTTTTAGCATTACTAGTGCTGTCTTAGTGGATAATTATAGAACTAGAAATTTGTATTATATGTTCTAGTTCCATAAATATCCACTAGGCCGGCGCTAGTGATGCATAAAGGAATATATCCCTCCGAACTCCGCCTGTGGTACAACATTTCGTAACCACAATATTCATCTCGTGTCCAGTCCTGTATATCTTAGTCCGTGAAATATTTGATTTTATCTACTATTTTCTCTTAATAAATCTGGTTATGAAAACAGCTTATGATCTTACATTGGTTAACCTTAATTTCGTTTCTTGTAAATAATTTTGTTATTACCACGGTTATCTACACAGGTTGGCGCACGCCACTATGATGCTAATGCAGACGTGTGGTCTATGCGGTGACCGTAGTGAACTATTAGCGCTAGTAGTCAGTGGGCCTACGTTTACATTTGTATGTACTGGGAAATCGAAGATTTTTTATTCAAATCGTTAATATCGTCCAAACGACTAAAAATACGAATTAAAAACATTACACAATTATTGTAGACCGTGAAAAGGTGATAAGAACACAACCGACACCTAACCTGGAGATAACATGATAACTGCACGAAAAAGACGAACAAAATAATTTTCTAATTTCGACAATATTGTTCTGTAATCTGTATGACTGTATGTCTTTTTGTCATTACTTAATTGGTAGTAGGTAGTTTTATTGCGATGGTGGCTAAGTGTTGTATAGTTGGATGTACTTCAGGCTACAAAAGCAACACAGAAAAGGTACAAAAAAATTAGTTAATTTTATAACAATTAGTTAGTTATTATATTCAATATTCAGTAGTATTTAAGAAATATTAAAATTAAGTAAAATTAAATTATCTAAAGATATAATGTAAAGTTATGTTTTAATATAGCTTTAAATTTAGTTCATAAGTTGAAATAAATATAAATTATGTAAGTTGGTATATTATAGTATATGTATTCCTTTATTTATGTATTTAGCATCTGTTGGTGAGTTGAATATCAGTAAATCATTGGACAGTGATCATAATGCATCATCCAAAGCTGAATTAACAAATATATTACCTTTTTTTCATTATTTTTTTTTTTTGGTTTTCAGGCTACAAGAATCTTTACTGGGATGAAAAAACAAAAATAAAATTATTATAAACTGTAAATTAGTTAGGTATAAAATTAGTTATTAAGTATTAACCAACTACTAAATAGGTTTTATTACATAAAGAATAAGTAATGAACAAAGTAATAATAACATATTATGTTTATTTGATATTTTATTTTACAGATATTTTATAAATAAAATAAATTATAACTGGGTAAGAAAGACTTGTAGTCATTAATTATTATTTGCTGATGTCAGCCATTTAGAGAGTTTTTCGAAGTATAAGTCAAGTGTTGGGGGAATTATTTTTTTATGTAATTAAATTACATTAGATACTAATTAAGTACTCAGCTTTCAAATATAGTAATTAAAAAATTATAATTTATAATCACGATTAGAATTATTTCATCACGAGTGAACTCGTCCAGCCGGTAACCAGTTAGGCCTTGTGACTACTAGCGCTTTAGTTCACTGCGTTCGCCGCATCGACCATCGATAACACGCCGTGCGCCAACCTGTGTAGATAACCGTGGTTATTACTGATCAAATATTCTGAAACTTGAGGAACTTAATGTTACCAAATTTATGATGTTTGTTTTATCAAACTATTGATTATCAGTAGGGCTCGGGACTTCTAGGAGTTTGCATGTTTTTAAATAATCATCAAAAACATAGCTAACTAATATAGAAATTTGTTTCATAGCAATACAAGTTTATGTTTAAAATTTATAGTTGCATATTTTGCATATTTGACCATTTTTCATTTATAAGTGCATATTTGACCATTTTTCATTTTATAAGTGCATATTTGACAATTATTTATATGAAGGAGTATAAGTATAAAAACGTCGATCAACTCGTATCCAATGTAAAAAAATCATTTCTTAAGGCACCGTCACGTATTCAAATATTAAAATCTGTTGCACCTGATATTCCATTACCTCCGCAGCCTATTTTGACCAGGTGGGGTACATGGATAGATGCGGCTTCATACTATTGCAATCATTTTAAAATAATTGGACGCGTAATTGATATGCTTACTGAAAACGATGCAGAATCTATCAAGAAATGTAAACAAATTTTAAAATCCAATAATTTGGAAGCAAATTTAGTTTTTATTTTGTCAAATTATGGATTTATATCTTCATCTATCACTCGACTTGAAACCCAAGGCGTGGCACTAACTGAATTCATTAAAATAATTAAAATTGCAAAAGAACATTTACATTCTGCAAAAATTCAAGGATCTGCACAAGCTAAAGCAATTGATGAAAAAATAAAAAAGGTTTTGGAAAAAAAAGTTGGATTTGATCAACTACTAAAAATATCAAACATTTTAAATGGACAAGATGAATCAATGGACGGTTTGCCTGCAGATATTAGTAGTAGTGACCTACCATTTTTTAAGTTTGCGCCAATAAGTTCTGTAGACGTGGAACATTCCTTTTCCAAATATATAAATATTTTGGCTGATAACAGGTGGTCATTTAAATTTCCCAACTTAAGAAAGTATCTTATAGTCCAATGTAATGCTCAAGGTAATTAGTGCTATGTTAAAAATATAAAAATGTATTCAATTTAAATTATTTTTAAAAAAATTTAAAATTTTTTGTTTTAGATAAAAACTCAACATAAGATGAAAACAAAACTGAAAAAAAGAATACAATTATCTCAGATCATCATATTCATATCTATCATAATATCTAAAAAATAGTACTATTATTTATTAATTATTACTAATTTAATTTTTTTATTTAATTATTTATAATGCATTACAAATATATATATATTTTTTTAAATGCATGTTTTAATAGCATATTTAGTGATTCTTTAGGGCATAAATGCATGCATATTTAAGGTTTTTAGGGCATGAAGTCCCTAGCCCTAATTATCAGCTTAAACGTTATTTTTATGTCTTTAATTGGTCATCTCACCCAACATGTCAACTAACCTGCGAGTTCCTATAACGTACTTTTAGATCTTAATTAAAATGTAGTTAAACAAAAATATATCAGATAATATGAACACAATGGGTAATATCCGAAGTACCGAAAGTTAATACCTAAAACCTAACCTACGGAACAGAGCCACCAAACATTATATTTGTGCAGGTGCAGTGCATGTTTTATAAATAACACGCTATTGAATAGTTGATGTCATAATAAATCTTCGTGCAAAAATAAAAATTAAGGTTAAACAATAAAACAGGAAAGTAGGTATGATTCATTTACAAAAAATATACCTATGGTATATTATGGAAAAGTAGAAATAGTATATTGTGTGGCAAGGTCGGGAAGTGAGCCATTTCAGCCGCGGGCAGCCTTAGGTGAGGGCCGCATTTCGCACAAGACTGAAATGGCCTCCCCGCGAGAGCCACACATACTATTTTTTTTGTCACAACTGCACCGAAAGTTTGGTTTTCGATAGCGGTTGAAGAGTTCGAAAGCGTCCTTTTTCCGTCCAGAGGGTGGTAAAGTGGAAATCCCAAAAACTGCCAGGCGATAAAGCGGAAAACCCCAAAAGTGCCTGGCGCACATATCGTTATAAGCGTTATAGGACGCTTTCGAACGCTTCAACCGCTATCGAAAACCAAACTTTCGGTGCAGATGTGAAAAAAAGTATATTATGGACGGTTTTTGTAAGAACGTTTATTATGATGTAATATACTTATTATTGCTAAATAACATAAAAAGTTTGTTTTATACAAATTAGGTACACAAAGTATCGCGGAAGCATTGCGAAAGCAGTCCCCGCGGAGCCGTCGGTTCAAAACTGTAAAAAAAATAAAAAAAAAAAAAGGTACACAAAGTATGCAATGAAATGGAAGTCCATACGATCTGGACGAATTTCACTAACTGTATATACAGTTTATGAAATCAGCGATTTCACTATGTGGATGCAAATACATATTAATTATTAGGATTGTAGGTTACAAGGTTAGACATTTAGATTATCTAAATTATCTAAAAACCCCTAAAGTGTTTTTATTTAAATTTTTTTTAACTGTTCAAAAATTAAGTAGTTATAGTTCAGCCTAAATATATTAATAAATTATAAAATCAATCAGCTTTAATGAATTAATTGCATTAAACCAACTCATTACATAAATTCTACTAAATGTTATGATGATAATATGAATGGAGAAGATCTTATAGCTTCAGGTTCAAAAATCGCTAAGTTAACAGATATTTATTTACAATAAACCATAATTTATTGAATTAGGAAAATGTAAACAGTTAAAAAGTGTAGAGACTGAAGAAAATCTAAGGGCCCTATTATTAAGATTTTAGAAGGGGATTATCGAATTGAACGATTTTTTGATTTATTTACTAATGTACTTATAAAAACTACTAGAAATTAACCCAAATAAATTAATAACTTAAGCAGATTGAATTTTAAGCACTAGTAATAATTTACAAACTACATCACATATTAAAAGTTTCCCTTTATCTTTATATATAACTTCAATGATATTTATGTAATTATGTTAATAATGTAATTTGGACATCAAACAATTTTAAGTTTAATTTTTTATATCCCCCCCCCCCCATGGTCTTGTAGTTTAAAATAATTTCAAAGATTTTTGGATGATTTGTGTAATTTGTTATAGAAATTAATATTTTTTAATATTTTAATTGTTTTTGCTAATTTTAATTTTTTTTTTATGATTTTATTTTATGAACTTGAAAAGAGTAAACAAGAGTGAACTCATGCTGAGTTTAATATTTATTAATATACAGCTTGTTTGGTGTAATTATTTCAAAATGAGAAATATAAATTTAGATACACTATGAATTATTATTAAACAATACATTTTAAATAAAACAACATTTTTCAACAGAAACATTTTTACATATAAATTTAAATTATTTATAATTTTTTTTTTTCTAATAGGTAAATGAGAATACATTGAAACACATATTCTTATATTTATTGTGTTTGGTATTACTCAAAAAACCTACATTTATTTTTACAGTACAAAAAAAATGTTGCTTTTTTTGTATCATCAGCGTTGTGTTTAATATTTCATTTATATATATATATAACAACTTTATTAAGCGGACTGCCCACCATGCGGGTTGCCAAAAGACACAGTATACAAAGTTTAATATTGAAATACATAGGATTGTTAAAAATTATAAAATTATAGTAAACAAATATACAAATAAAATTGCTGTATGTTCCAAATGGATGAGACATCTACTAGGTAGAATTAATTAAGATTTAAATGAATAAAAAAAAAATACAGATTAAATATTGAATACCTAATAAGATAAAATAAAAATAAATAAAGTTTATACAGAAGATAAACAATGATATTATGGTTGACGAATATAAGTGGTAGTTTATAATATTGAGTGTATCCCTTAGAATACACAAACATATTTTTACTAGATCAGAGATGTTTAGTCCATGGGTTCTGAAAAAATTTCTCAGAAAGCAAGATGCGGTTCCTCGGGCCCCAAACCATAAACCCACGACTTCCCAGTTGTTGATGTTGTATTGGTTCTTAAGTATGGGGACGCATGGTTGGTATATCGCCCTCTTTTCCTCATCCACTGCTGTATCTTGCAGGGGGTTATTTGTTTCCCAACGAATTGTTGGGTCCAAAATGAGTCCGTGGTTTTTTATCCTGTCCAGCACTATAATATCAGCGCGACGGTTTTGGGTGATACCGTCATTTGTTGTTTCGCAGTGAACTTCCTCATATACTTCGAAATTTTTACTCCGGAATAGGTCAGCTATTGCTGAACGAACGCGATGATGAGCCACGTTTCGCAGTAACTCAGTCTTTGGACAGGAGCCTCTAATGTGTGGTAGTGATTCAACAATATTATTCTCATTGCATACTTCGTTTCTGCAATGGCGACTACCACCCTGTTCCGCGGTTAGACATTGAGTTAATCGATGCTTTTATCGCGTTGGTCCATTCTCTGCTCGATAAACCACCTTTGTTTGATACCCAGTAGTTTGTGAGAGTGCATTTATCATACCAGAGTACACCGATTCCCCTCTGACATAGTTGTTTCCATTTGTTAAATTCACTCGCGCGCAACTCTGAGCGGATAGCCTGAGCATTTTGACCTATTACGTTACCCAAACGGAGACGACACTTGGCTATTTCATCTGGGAGATCACGGACTGCCTTGAGATGTCAGTAATTTATTCTAGATAACTTCTGTGCAATTGCCAGGTGCTGTAAGGAAGCTTCCCAAAAAGTTCGTAGCATACCCAAACCACGGACTTTGCGGCCACTATAGAATACTGGAATGGGGGTATCAGCTGGTAGCCCGCATATTTCCCTAACACCTTGACGTATTAGCATGTCTACACGTTTCAGAAATGATTGATGGAGAAGATCGACTGGTGTTGTTTGCAGAGGATATATTAGATTTGGGTAGACATATTGGTTGAGAATATTGAGTTTTTGGTCACCTCTTAACAATGGTGAAGTGACTAAGTTTCTAAAGTCTTTTTCAAGACTTATTAGGAATTCTTTTTCATCAAAAATAATTTCATCTTTGAAGTATCTTTCGTATTTTATGCGATCGGTGTGGCTTAGTGATGGAATTTCGGAAGAATCTAAAAGAGTAATTACTTTTGGCGTAAGATTTCCGTTTTCTATATTAATTGCATGGGATTTCGACGGGTTTATTTGCATTCCCACTGAAGAGAACAAGTCTCTGGCCATATAAACCTACTATAATACAAAATGTAGACTATGAATGGTTCAGTTTATCAAATAATTCAAAATAAGACATTCAAATTGAAATTAAGCCCAATAAAATCTATATTTTATAATAAAGATGGAAAATTAAAGCCACCTTCAATATTTTTTTTTGTTAAACCTAATAAATTATATTATTTCATTTTTGAATCACATGTGCATAAAATATAAAATTAATTATACCTTATAAATAATAATATAACAACAAAATTGAATAGATAAACTTTGATTTTTGTATATTATACTGTCTATATATAGCCATCACGATGAAAATAATAATAATAATAGTAATAATATGATGAGTTGTCGAATGTCGACCCGCCTCAGCGGACGATTTCACTAGGCCAGCTGCAACAAGTGTCCGTTGCCGCTGTCGTCGGAGACCTGCAGTTATTATAATTATTGTATAATTCCCTGGTGGTTTGCTGTTATGGTTTATAGTTTCTTCAACCACGCTATCATAAATAGGATTTCTCCTAATCTACCTAAAAAAATTTAATTTTAGTACAAGTAAGTATTTAAGGGTGTTGAACAACATATTTCATACCAAATATTACTATATATTGAAATGCATTAATCAAATTTATCATCAATGTCGATTTAACTATAGTAGGTATCTGGCCTACAATATACAATCACACAGTCTATTGCCAGAAATCCTATATGCCAATTTCTCCATTTTTGAAACATCAAAATTATACCATCTCCCGGCTAAAAAATTACAATTTTGTAGAATTATTTTGGTTATAATATGACTATGTAGTATGTATTTGTATTATTACTTATTCTCATAAATCATAATACAAAAATAGAAAAAATTTAATATTTACTATTTCATTTGTCGTTCCAAAATTGACGTATCCTAACTTGATGTATAGAATGAATAATATTATGCCACTTATTATATAATACGTATGTGATTCGGTCATCTCTCCACCGCTTCCATTCATTATTTTCGGAAGATCTAAAATAATATAATATGAATAGTAAAATATACCAATGACTGTGAAAAAAAATATTTACTTTTTACTTTTCAAATCAGAGGCATAACAAAAACAGCTTTTTATTTTATTTTAATTAGATTCATCATTTAAATATATAATATATAAAATTAATATCTTATACTTACCAAAAAACAATCCATGTAACAGTAGCCCTGTCATGATAATTAAGAAACCGACAAAGTAGTACTGAAAACAATAACAATTTCCGGTAAGTACAGTGTGCACATTTTATTAATAAGTAGATACCATTGTGTATATACATTGTACATTTCAGGAAACTATCTTCAATATGGATTAATTAATATAATTTATAAGTTAATAACAAAATATTTTCGGATAAGACCATTATGGGTTTTTAGCATACCTTGTTTATAGTAGTTATTAATTGGAAATCTTGCCATAAGCATTCCACAATATTGATAATATTCTATTATTTTGTATTTGTTTCTATGTTTTCTCATCTTTATTCGTTGTGACTGCACAATGTATAATAAATGACATAATAATTATTATTAATAAAAAAAATATTTCGAATTTCAATTTCTGGGATGGTGAGTGCCTCCACGAATTACTTCTAATATCTAATGGGGGTAGGTGAGTATAAGTAATATTGTGTAAGGTAGTAAAAATGTCATGATTTTAATGTAATTTATTTAATATATTGTTAAAAATAAAGATGAACCTAAAAATGAAGATATCCCTTGTTATGACGATGAAAGTAAATTAATTCATAGATTTTTAAATTGAATATTGTATAAATAAATTGTGAGGAAAGAAGTCTGCTAACTAAAAATTGTAATAGAATAGTTAAATCTAAGACTTTTACCCGTACAATTTATTAATATATTTTTTTTATTTCATATTTATTAATATTTTATAAATAGTTAATTTAATTTAACCTTTACTGAAACAGCAAACTATAGACTATAGTATCTAAAGTATAAGTTCGTCATGAACAATCATTGCATAACCGGATAACTCTACCACATTTAGGCTCCCCCAATTACACGACACCACGACCACGTGGTTACGTAACTGGCAGCCGTTCGCTGGGTATAAAAATGATAATGCACACCGATCGAAATGCCAGTCATTTAGTTACATTAACGCACAAACGAATATTGTAATCATCATTATAATATCGTTTACCATGGCCGTATCCAGAATTAATTTTTTTGGGGGGGGGGGGGGGGGGGGTTCATTTTTTAATATAAAACTATAACATAATTTTTAAGATTTTGAATGAAATATAACGATATCATTGTTCAATACAAATACAAATTTACTTTATCATTCAAAATACATCACTTTTTACTTAATATACTGTAATTATTTAAGAAAAAAAATTAATTAAATTAACAACAAATCAGAGTTTGTTTTAAAGCAACATCATTTTCCTCGACTGTTTGGCAAACCGATTTAGCACCTCTTCTGGATCAACATTTATTTCCCTGTGAATTGACATTAATGCTAATCCGTTGAGACGAGTTTCACCAGTCGAGTTCCTAAGATATGTTTTCAATCTTTTTAAAGAAGAAAATGTTCTTTCTGGTGTCGCCGTTGACATAGGTATTGTTGCTAAGACTTGTAGAAGTTTCCATATATTGGGAAATAAAAGGATATTACAATTGTCAAGCCCTGAAATTGCTGTATAAGAACGTGACTCTTCTTTAAGCCATTTTGATTCCCATATTGAAAATTCAGCTTTGAAAACAGTAGGCTCTGTCAATATCTGAAAATAAAACTGTACACAATCGTTTATTTCTTCACTAGTGGCATATATACATTTACTCGGAATAATTTGTTGTAGTGAACTTATTAAAGACTTGTGTTTTTGAAACCTATCAGAAAGCTGTATTCTTATATGGTCAAGAAATGGCAAAAAAATATTAAGTTTGTAATACTTTTCAGAGCTATTAGCGGGCACATTGTTAAGGTGTGTTTGTCTATTAGCAAAACGAGGAAAATTTATTTCTTCTTTTTTTTTATTCAGCATAGTCACAGCAACAGAAAACATGTCTGAAAAATGTATATTGTTATTTTCTCTCATTTCGTCCAAAATTACTAACACATTATCTACATGATTACATGCTTCGACTAAATCAGCATTTATTGTTTGTAATTGTTTACACAAAGTCAACGTATAGGAAAAAATATTTTCAATTATTATGAGAGGTATAACAAATTTAGCGTCTTTAATTGTACTTAATAACTGATAAGACTTTTGAGCTGTTTCTTTATTTATTGAAGATTCTAATTTTTCTAATGCAACATTAATGGCTGGATATAGTTCTTTGAACCGCAAGACACTTTCATGCTTGTAAACCCAACGTGTTTCACATAATGCCACTAATGTGCTATGTCTTGTCTGTGGAAGAGTTTCAATGATAGTTGTTCTCAATACTCAGATACTCAGATTTTTCAACACACAATTTGTGATATGATGTACTAGCATGTAATTGAAAATCTTGCAGAGAATTTTTCCAATTAGCATACTCCTTAGAAACAAGTGCACCTAATTGCTGATGACCACCTTTACCTACCTTTTCTCGAGCAAACAAAACACATGGTCTACAAAATGCTCCTTCGAAAATCTGTGAATAACTTAACCATGGAAATCGTTTTATCCAAGATAATTGAAATCGTAAATTTCTTTTGGTTTTAACAGGAAAACCGAAAAATATACGTGGAATGGGGTACCCATGGAGTTTTTAAAAGTTCTTACAGAGTGAAGTATATATTAAGTATATTACAGTTATAAATTAAACGATAAACGATAGTAATAAAGTTTAGTTAAATACTTAAATTAATATCGAAAACCGATATCAAATTGTCCAATATCTATTATTACCCAATATAAAACTGTTACAAAATAAACAAGCCATAATTTTATTCTTATAGCATTAAACTAAAATTATTAAATAAAAATTACTTACTAATTTGGAATCAGTACGGTTTTTGAAGTTCCTTGTACGGCAATGTTAGGAGTCCAAATGAAAAAAAGATTCGCTATCGTAAGGTTAACCCGAGTTGAAAGTAAAAATTATCGATGTCTTATGATAAGGAACACTAACGAAATTCAAAGAAAACTAAAAATAACCAAATTATTTTTTTTCGTGTTATCGACGCTTACAAAATGTATTGACACTACACTGTCGTGTCTCGCAACATTCATTTCGGCGTACAGATTAACAGACATTTATGAGCAGATAAGCAGACGATAACAATAATGTCACATATTGACGTATTTATACTGTACATATTTATACCACAAAAAATCTAATTTTTATGTTCGATGAAATGTCGTTAGGGGGGGGGGGTTTGAACCCGGAGACCCCCCCCTGAATACGGCTATGGTTTACCGTACACTCAGCACCTATAATATATACTTATCGCTGCAGTAGTTTATAATATATACACACATAAATATTATATAATTATTATACACTCATTCGCCGAACAATTTATAGTCGCCATTGCAAGCGATCCACCTTGGAAGCAGATTCGGAAATAACAGATATCGTACCGCATATTATATAGGTTAAGATAATAACAACAAATGTTTCTGTTGTACGCCAACGTGCCCATGTTCGCTTTCATGGTATTGTTGAATTTCTTCTTGTACTCTCCCGTCGAGTCAGTGATGAACGGCAGGCTCTACGATACGTGCCAGAAGTGTCTGGCTGACACTTGGCACAAACAATTTCATAGGCCACTCATTTTCAAAAACGGCGCGTACTTTTGTTTCACTTGTAATTCCGTACATGGCAACCAAAAGTTCCACACCCTAGCCGAATGCCAGCTAGGGTCATTGCACAGACCCGAGGAGGACGTGCGTTTGTGCCGATGCGTGTTACGTGTGCGCCCCAAAAGGGGCCAGGAATGATGCAGGGAGTTGCAGAAGGCCCACCATTCATGAAATGAATAAGTGCGGCTAAGATGCAAGTATGTTTCGTACGACACCACCAGCACGCTCGCAGTGAGATTATAATTAAAATAATATTATGATACTTAATATACATATTATTTTCAATTATGATTTTTGTTAAAAAAAATATCCCATTACATAATAATATTATATACCTTAGTTTTAATACACGCATAAAATCACCACCTTGAAGAATTTAATATCGTTTTAACCGTTTTACTTCCCATTATATTTTTGTACAATAGGTATAGCCTATTAGTCTCCACTGACGGGCTGTAGCGAACCGTCGTCTTGCATAATTTTCTTATTTCTGCCGCAGCTGTAGTTCGTAAACTATTTTTAAAACTATGATCCCGTTTGGTAATATTATAAATGTATTATAAATTAATTATAAATGTATGATATAGAAATTAAGAACTTAGAATCCATGGATTTTAGTAACATACTGGCATCAGTTGATGATTTGTCATTAAAGGTGGTTGATATTTCTTCCAATGCCTCGACTACACATGGAAATAATTCAACGAAATCATTGACAGCGGTGTATCTTTCAACCCAACGTGTTGCACACAAACGCTTTAATGATTTGGATGATGGGTTGAGATCGCTATTAGCAATAGCTTCCAAAAGTATACTGTGGCGTTTAAGTGTGTTAAAAAAACAATGCATTTTTTCTACCACACCTAAACAGTTCCTTACAGCTTGTTGTTCACATGATGAAGACACTGCCAAATTCAATGTATGGGCAGCACAGTGAACATATTATAATGCCATAGGATACTTATTTCGTATTATAGTCTGTAGGTACTCCTTTAAATTTCCCTGACATGTTACTTGCCCCATTGTAACCCTGGCCATACATTTTAGACCAGTCAATTCCACAAGAATTTAAACCTTATGTAAATACAATTTAAAAAAAAAAGTATTTTATTAATTATACTCAACAGTCAACACCTAATATATTCATAAAATAGTATAAACCTTCAAGTATAGCTGAAGCCAAATGCTGACCAGTTAAATTATGTACATTAACATACTTCAAAAAAATCTCACATAACTTAGCATTTTCTCCAGTACCATTAACAAAACGTACACACAGCGTAAGCTGTTCCTTAACTGACACATCCGTTGTCTCATCAGCTAATACAGAAAAGTACTGAGATGCATTTACTATCTTTACTAGTTTACTTAGTATTAGGTCACCACATATGGTAATAATTTCATTTTGTATTTGAGGACTTATGTATTTGTTTTATAAAATAATTTTTGATATTACTCATATTAATTATTTTAATATAAAAACGAGTTCACACTTGACACTTTACAAATTATTTCCAATGACAATATATTAAAAAATAATAATAAAATATAATTCATAGGGATTTACGTGAAAATATAATATGTTATTGTAGGTATAATATTATAATATTGAGGTAATTATACGATAACATTAAGATTAAAGATACTAGATAGCATGAACATAATACTGTTATAGTATAACGTGGTATAACAGTGATAATAACTAATAAACTTTATGGCTTATCAGCTTATAACACCAGTACCTACATTCTACAACTATCTAGTCATGAACATTAGAAATAAATAAAATAAATGTATTATCTAAATTGGATCACTCTACGAGGCGTGACCGTTTTTCCTGCAGGCATATTTTTGAGCAAAAAAACAGGTCATGAACTCTCGTGCCCTTGAATCCAAGTGCTGTTGAGGCTCTTGTATGTTCATCAGCAACACACTATTATTAGAGTTGAAAAATATTGAGGCTTCATTGCTTCATCGGTACACGTAAAGAAAAGCCAATACCTATTAAAAAGGAACACTACGTAGTACTAAAGTATATTATATTATATTATTCTATTCGTACTTTATTTAACTCAAGTACTTAAATAATAAACAAGAACTAAGCAGAATATCACACAAAATATTAATGTGGATTGTGTAGATTAGGTTAGGTTAAGCTTTTATACGTCTGATATTTTTGAATTCAATCAAACATTATAATATAAATACATATATTACATAACATATGATCAAATTATTGTTCTTAGACAACCTATGCATTTAAAAATGTACAGATAATAATTTTACTATATTAATGTGTAAACTATAAATAGGTTATTTGGTAGCCTTATTAAAACAATAGTTTAATATAATTCATCAATAATTAATACCATATAATAATAATATGTAAAATGTACATATAAAAATATATAGGTACAATGGTATGTACATAATATACAACATGTTGTGTTAAAAGGTGAATATTAGTGAACTAATACCTACAAGCAGCACTATTAACAACAACGAAAAATTAAAATGCGATATATTAGTTGCGTATAATCAAATATTTAATTAAATAACAAATCTGCGATCCGGTTTTATATTATCGTTTCGGGTTTTAGTAATATTTACGACTGCGATCTTTGTACAATTGTATAGCACGACAGGTACCATATTTAAATACATATTTTGAACAGAATGTTTATCATAATAATTGAACAGAAGTTTTGGTAAAATAATTGCAAGGCATAAATTAATAGTTGGCATTAAGTACCTACGCTGATAATTGAAATATCGTTGCCAAATTTATTTTGCAAACATGAAATGTTTGTTAGCTCCAAATCAAACAGTCGACCCAAAATCAAATGGTAAGGCACTGATATAAAATATGTACAGATCATAATATAGAATTATGTAATTGTAAATTACAAAATCAATCAAGTTCCAAATCGAAATTGAAATTCGATCAACATTTTAGATTCTGATTATTTTAGAATGATGATTATGACCTTTTAGTGTGGTAAAATGCTTAGATTTTCCTGTAATTAAAAAATTATAAAATCTTCAATCTTTATAGATAAGGTTGAACATTTAAAACAAAGTTTCTTATAAATAGTTCATACTGTAATCAAATAATCAAAAAAATATATACATATAACACAGTTATTTTTTACAGTCATTTTAAATTCAAATTTGGACCAAATTACATATTAAAAACAATAATAACAATTTTAGTTATTTTTTTGTAATTAAAAAATATTATTCGTGGATATAATGCAACTTTTGGATTCTAATATATTATTATATTTGATACACACAATGAAATTTTAAAATGTAATTTTTTTGGCGAAAATGAATTTAACTTAGTGTACTTAGTAGATACCTACTTTTGTCTAATATCAACAATTTTGTTAATTTATAATTAATTTTCCCCTGCTTACCTGGGCCTGTAACCGTTTGATGTTAACTTTAGGTAAGCTCTAGGTAGGTAAATAATATATTTGACTGTATTAAACATACCTATTAAAAGCAGCATGCTCTTATTTACTCCTTTGAAGGTTTTAGTGGCCTTTTTTTTCCAAACGTCGTCGATATGATTCCCTTTACTTAGGTATAATATTATTATATAAACATATGTATAGTTCTGTAGATATATTCAGCTTATCCAATGTTATGCATGTTTTTAAATTTATGCTTATGAACAAGGGGGAGCGGGTCATGTCTTCGAAGGTCATGTTTTCGAATGACGAGTGTTAGAAAAGTTATTTGTTCGAATAGTAATGTAATCGAAAAATTATTTGTTCGAAAAATATATGTTCGAAAAGTTGTATGTACGAAAATTATTTATTTAAATTAAAAAACTATCTAATATTATAAAAATTCATAAACATAAAATTAAAAAAAAAAATATTTGGAAAAATATACCTATGCAGTTATAAATCAATAATTAAAAACTTAAATTATATGCAATTGCTTTTAAAAACTCCAATTTACAATATTTAGGATTGTCGATTATTCGCGGTTGAATTGATTGCAATCTCATATTGCGGTCCACATAAGACGGTCTTACAAGAGAATCCAAGAGGGAAAAGACCACTAGGAAGACCCCGAATGCGATGGGAGGATTGTGTCAGGAAGGATGTAGCAGTATTTCTGCCTGAGTAGGATTGGCATATGCTGGCACAAAATCGTGAAGGGTGAAGGCAGTTATGTTTGGATGTGTGGCCTAAAAGGCCGTAAACAATAAAAAAAAAAAAAAAAAACTGCATAGGTATATTTTTCCAAATATATTTTTTTTAATTTTATGTTTATGAATTTTTATAATATTAGATAGCTTTTTAATTTAAATAAATAATTTTCGTACATACAACTTATAGATTGTCGATTATTCGCTGTTGAATTGATTGCAATCTCATACAGTCAATTACATAAAACGTATTAAATTCGCAACAAACTAAGCTTCAGTACAGACTACAATCGCGTTTTGTTGTATACTAGCTAGACCACACCACAATAGTCATTACTAATAAGCTATAAGCAATGTTATCTACTATCTATTATCTTTATTACTTTTATTCAACGATATAAATCGGGTACGTCGATACAATTTACGTTTAAAAAAGCGGATAATTGGGTGTCGATTAGCTGTAGGTACAGTCATAGGCGCAATTAGGGGGGGGCTTGGGGGGGCTTAGCTCCCCCAGTTTTATCCATAGCCCCCCCAGTTTTTATATGATTTTACTTGAAGCTTATTAAAATTATTATAAAAATTTCAAGTATCTAGGATTATTCGTTTTTAAATTACGACAAAATATCAAAAATTGATAGATGAAAATTCTTTAATTTACTGATAAAAATTGAAAATTGAATGTTGTACACATTTTAGATTCAAACACTCATAAAAAATGTATGTTACTTTCCAGTAAACTTTTAGATTCTGAGCGGAGCGATGAATGTATTGGTTTTACAATGATGTATGTTTTTATATTTTTATATTTTTATATTTTTTTTTATATTTTTATTTATATTTTTGTGTCTGTCATCACGTTTTGGGACAGTAAAAGTGCTTGGATTTTCTTCATCAGTAGCTTTTCTGATAGGAAAGTGAATCTAGTTGGTACTTTGGGGGGTCAAAAGTATAAATTTCCCAGTAGTTTTCACAAGCGCCGGGAAAAACAACATAAAAATTAAGGAAAAACGGGAATTTTTACGCAAAATTGGTTTTCCAAAAAATCGATTTTGGTTATTGGTGTAACTCTAAAACAAATGAACGTATATACATGAAATTTTCACTGGTTGTTTATATTTGCATTTTCTATACACGATAACATTTTCAAAATATTTTGATTTATTTTGAACTGTTTAGGGACATTTTCATTTTCCATTTTTTTTTAGTTTTTTTTCTAAAAATATCAATAAAATTTTATTTATTGGTTGCGAAAGCTTGAAAATTTAATAGAAGGCTCCTAATATGTTGTTTCAAAGGCAGATGAAAAATATTAAAAATCCTTAGTCACAATTTTTTTTTATAAGCATTTAAAGTTCAAAAATTGACAAAATATGGAAAAATCACGAAAATTAGCAAATTATTTTGAGTTAAGAATTCGTAAAAATTTTTCTTTTTAAATCTAAGATTTGAAAATGAAACACAAGATTCCTTATAAGATTATCTACCTTTATAAATAAAAAAATCTCTACCGGACAGTCAAATTAAATTTTTATGAGCGTTTGAAATTCAAATTTTTACAACATTGGATTTTCACTCGATTTCTCATGTAGCGATTTCCTTATTTTGTTGTAATTCAAAAACGAATAACTGTAGATACATGAAAATTTCACTGAATGTTTATATTAGCATTTCCTACACACCATACAATTTTGAAAATATTTTGACTCTTTTTGAGCTGTTTATGGACATTTACAGCTTTCAATTTTTTTTAGTTTTTTTTTCTATAAATA